CTCGCCCGCAACAGATCCGCCCTCCTCTCCGTCCTCTTCTCCTTCTTCCTGTTCCTCCCTCTCCTCACCTCCATCACCTACATCGCCCTGCGCCGCCCCGCGTCCCCCCGAATCCCGACCGTCTTCATCCTGTCCAACCGCCGCTCCGGCACCCACCTCACCATGGACACCCTGGCCAAAATCCTCCCGCCCCCGCTCCGCCTCGTCAAGACCAACCACGTCTACCTCACAAACTCCACCACCAAGGACGACCGAGAACAGGGCCTCAACTGCCGCTGCCTCAATTTCCTTCGCCGCGCCGGCAACCTCATCCACGCACACCGCGACGTCCGCGATGTCATCATCTCCAGCTTTTACTACATGCACAGCTACAACGCCGCCCTCGTCAGGGGCCTCACCATGGAGCAGTACCTCGCCAACAAAAACGGCGTCCGCAACCACATCATCGCCAAATGGGTTAACACCACCACCCCCTTCTTCGCCCAGCCAGACATCCTCCACCTTTACTTCACCGACACCGTTTCGGGCTTCGCCCACGTCCATGACAAGCTCTCCGCTTTCCTAGGCTACGACCACTCGAAACCCCTCCGCATGGACCCGCGCAAACTCAAGTCCGCTAGCTCCGCCGTTTTTCGCACAGGCGGAAAGGGCGACCATGGCTACAAGATGGAGATGTCCAGCGGAATGCAAAGCGGCATTTTGCAAATTGCCCGTGATATGGAGCATTGGAAAAGAGATAATATGGTCCACTGCCCGCCGCATGCTTCCCTACTGGAGAAGATGCGAGAAGAGTTGCGCGATCGCCTAGAGGATTCGTTTTGGGTCGGAGATGAAAAGGGGCACGGCATGTTCGTCCCGGCGTATTGCCCGAAAATTATGAAGACTGGAAAGGTCGTCGAGCTTCATCATCCTTCATAAGAGCCCGTGTGACGGGCCGTGTGAAGATCCAAACTGAACATTTGCCAATCTAACACAGTCATTACAATCGCCTTCTGACAACGGACATACCTTTTCAACTCCCTCGCATCCTCTGCGTTTTATCGGTGCGGCCGTATTCCACTGTATTCTTTTTGCGACAAAAGTGTGAGCTGAGGCGACGCCATAGCGAGGAAGAAAACTGGTACCGTAGGGCTGCGGAATTGCATCAGGAGCGGGGATTGAACGGGGTACGGTAGCGGCAATTTATCGTGTCACCGTGTTTGAGGCATTTCCTACTAACTGCCGTGGCGAAATGAGGGCTTTATACTAGTCTGCGCTTCGTTTGTAGACGGCTGGCCTTGAGAATGACGACGCCTACAGTTCGGATACATAAAATGGGACAGATCCGAATTACCGTGATAAGCGACCTCTACTGTGGTCACCTTGTCAAATATCTTCCTCTAAACTCACCGTCCTACAGTATATACTTGCTCACCAAAAATGAGACAGGCAACTCTACCGGCAGAACTGACTCCCCAGACGCAACAGATGACATTCCGCTGAGACACGCCTGTCAGTGCAAGTCAAAGAGATAGAAAGGTGTGACGAAAATTGTTTCGGGCACCCTCGGACACTTTGTCCCTTTGACATGTTGAAAGCCAAATGCACGGATTGATGTGTCAGGCAACAATGTAAGCTCCTTTGAGCTGTTCGTCTCTGCTTGTACTGGATGTGCAAGTGGTTTGGGAATATTGGGCGAGATGTGGTCGGCGAGGGTAAAAGGTGCGAAGAAGCAGAGCGTCCGAAACGGAGATCATCGGCTTTAGGGTTGCGTTGATGTCAACGACTGTCAACAGTCAGTGGGGGGACACTGTTGGTAGGTAAAAGGGTTCGGTGGTCTGTTTATTCTTTTCCTCCTTCTACTGTCCGTGTGTCCCTCCTCTCTTTGTCACCGGATTCTAAATTGTCGGCTCTCGCCCCACATTCCGTCGTCAGGGCAGCTGCTCTCGATACTGCCTCTCTCCCCGAACCGATGTGATGGCGTCCACCTGGGGGGGTTAACCTTGAAGATTTGCGCCGCCCTCCCAACACCAACAGTTTTCCTGCCTTTATTATACCGTCTCCCAAAACTTCTACGTCGCGGCCGTAGTACGTGCTGACGTGGCATGTTAAATCTCCTGTTCTGACGAGCGCAGTCAAGGGTGACTTGTTTGGAGTGCGGTTGCAGTTCAACCTACTCAGAGCCGACATAGCCAACACTCGACGACTGCCCTCCAGTGTTAGATACCAGTAATCTCCATGAGCGCCCCTGCTCCCTAAGGATAGACCTAAGATGGATACAGCGCCAGCGGCCATCGAAAGCAGAATTATTACAAAGCCCGCTAGGAAATAGTGATTCACAGTCGCGACAGTCTGCACGTCTGAAAGTGATACCCCCCGCACGTGCTCAAGACTCGTTGAGACCCACTTAACTACGGTCTCTGCTCTCTCATTGTCCGTACTAGCCCAGAAGCTTGACGTCTCCCATAAGAACTCATAGTTGTTCGCGGTTATTTGGAGCGCTTGGAAGGCCGAAAGCATTACCATTTCGCTAGGCCATCGTCTGCTGCGACAGACCATTCCGTTTCCGCCTTCTAGCCTGCCGCGTGCGTGAATGCATATAGATGGTTGAGGGCCTCCGCGTATGACCGCTACCAGGTAGATGCGTGACCCGGCAACAGTAATGTTCGGTCCCGACATAATCAGTCTATCTATCCTTCCAGTGGCCTGGCTTGCTGATAAGAATCTCCAAACCTGGACGGACTCCCACTTGATATCCGGATCCGAGCGCTGCCCGAAGTCTACGACCACATCGTGCTGCATCAGGGAGTCCTCCCCTCGCCCCGGTAGGCTAGCATCATGTCTCCTGACGGAATTCGGCTCAAGTCTCGGATCAACACAACGCACGTCCCAGCTTCTTGGATACGCGGGCGACCTAATACAGTCAAACGACAATCGTGGGGCCTCATGCATCTCAACGACCAGTAGACGGTCCATGACGCGATATACCTCCATTCCAAGCCACCGCATGTGCACGTTATTTACCATCTCAATTATCGCTATCGAAGTAACATTGCCCGTTTCTCTGAGGATGTACGACTCCAAGTCGTTAAAAAGAATCACGTGGCTGTTTCGTAGAATCGCCCCGAAAGCTCTACCCATCGCCCAAAATGTGTCTCCGGTTCCTATGGAAATCCAGTCGTCCGGGGACTCAGCGAGGAGTACCTGCTGAGGAGTACCTGCTGGTAAGATGAAGCTCTGCTCTTCGTCCCGAGTATCTCGAGATCCTCCCCAGTCAACTTGTAGCCGCTCTCTGCTGCCTCGTCGGAATACCAAACTTCGTAAGTAGCCCTCAAACTGTGGCTAGCCATTCTCGTGGGCTCCCAAGTCCCATTGCTTGAGATTCGGGCCCCAATAAAAGAATCAAACCCATCCCTGGAATATCCAGTGTCTATCAACTCCCCAGTTGGCCTCTCAACAGACGCAGACCCGAACTCCATCATCAAGTCAGCAGAAGTCAGGGCGACAGTTATCAACAAGAGACCTCTGAATCTCCTATCCTCACCGTCTTCCTCTTGGACGAGGGAACCCCTGTTATAAGGACGGGGCCGTAACCTAACGGGCACACCAGAAGATACCCTGACTCCCGCTCGGCGTGCTGTGACGTTAGTCCACACCCTCGATAATAGAGTTGTCAGGATGAGGCTTAGTGTGATGAACCTAACCACGATCCACGTAGGGACCCCTATGGCTAGTTCGATGATCATTGTGCGCGCGCTCGTTTCAACTTTTGAAATTCTTGATTCACAAGAGTACTATGTTGGTAGGTAAAAGGGTTCGGTGGTCTATTTATTCTTTTCCTCCTTCTACATCACAATTTGTGGAAATGTGTGGTTTGGGATGTGTTCGGGATGTGTTCGGGGTTGCCCCACCCACGCAGCAGGAATACTGAAGGCGGCCCGTACGTCCGTGTTGAGGGATCGCAACTTGCGATCTCTCAACAAGGTTGTGAACCATCGCAACTTGCGATCCCTCAACAAGGTTGTGAACCATCGCAACTTGCGATCCCTCAACAAGGTTGTGAACAACAAAAAGCTCAAATTTGACGTTACAGCTGCCTCCTTCAGCGTGATCTTGGCGTGCCGGTTACTCAGAATGATTGACAAATAAACTCACACTACGAAGAGTGCCTGTGGTGAAAACACACACTTGGCAGCAAGTGAGAGCCCGTCCCAACACAGCATATCACATCAGTGGCAATCGCGCAGAGCCTCCTGATTGGTTGCTGCTGATACAAATATTAACATGGCAGTCTTAGTAAGAGGTAGTAAGCGCCCTTTCTCCTGGAGTGTAAGCCTCACAGAAAGGCAATTTCATTGGACAACAAATAGATTGAGACAACTCAAAAGCAAGCGACCACAGTAAAAACGGTCTCAAACGCGCTGAACAGAGTCAGTAAAATGCCCAGCGGAAAGTGGGGATGATCTCCCCAACATCACGCTCTCATCCGTGCATCAAACCGTCTCCCGTCTAGCACCACCTTTTGTCGACTCCACCTCCATATTATCTCCAGCACTCCTGGATGCCATATCCCCCTTCACACCCTTTTTCAACCGAATATCGCTGGCGCATATCCCACCTCATGAATAGAGACGAAATCACGTTCTTATCTGTAACTTCAATTTATACCGATGAGGAGTTTTCCGGCGCATTCCGAATGTCTCGTCCCATCTTCGCGAAATTGTTGCGACTCATTCAGTGTAAAATTCAGAAAAACATTGAGATGGGTCAAAGGTCAAAGAGAACAACCGTCATGCCAGATATACGCCTCGGAATCACCCTACGCCTACTAGCTGGAGCAGATATGTGGGACCTCATATCAAGCTACCACGTGAGGAAATCTACTATCCACAGAATTTTTGAGGACACTGTAAGTGTGCTAAATGTGGTCCTCCGGCTTCCTGGACTGCCGAAAACAAAAGGAGATCTCTATACATCATCAATCGCTTTCAAAACCTCAAGAAAAACACTTAGTCCGTTGGACGGGCGTGTCGGGGCTCTAGATGGTCTTGCAGTTAAAATCACTAAACCAAGGGAGGAAGAAAACCCCTCGTCTTACTACAACAGAAAATGGTTTTATGCCCTTTGTGTGCAAGCTATGGTGGACTCCAATTATCGTTTTCTGACATACTGCTGTAGCTGCGTGGGTTCGACTCATGACTCGCTCAGTCATGAGACCTCAAGTTTAGGAAGATATCTCCAGGAGGGCCGTTTGTGCGAAGAATTTTGGATAGCCGCTGACGAAGCATATTTGAGCACCGAAACTGTCATAACACCTGTACCAAGCTCGCAGGTTACAGAGACAGAAGATGCGTTCAATTTCTACCACTCGTCACTACGAATGCACGTAGAGCAGGCGTTTGGGGTTTTAGTAGCCAAATGGGGCATTTTGCAAAGGCCCTTGCGTTTTGCAGTACGGAAGTCATCACGAATTGTGTGCACTGCCATGAAGATACACAATTTCGTTGTCGATGAAGGCGGTTCGAGGCGAGAAGGTATGACAGCAGTGGAGTTTAGACAGGTTTACACAGAAAGCTTGAGGTGGCACAGACAAATGACGCGGTCAGCAAACACAGGAAGGGAAACAGGACGAAGAATGTCGGGTTTGAGAAAACGTGACAGTCTCATAGATCTGGTAAAGGCAAAACGATTGGAACGACCTCCTGTACGCCAACGCCACAAGTAAATATTCGTCCCCCTCTACAAGTAGTGCTGCAATTGGATTATTCGAAATGGTTGACGTGGGAAGCTATAGAAGGTCATGGCCTTCTGGACAAGGTCGGGCGCTGGCGATACTGAGGAAGGGACACGAACAGAAATGGAACGAGGTACGCAAGGAGAAAAGTTGAAAGATGGGAATGGAGTGGAAAAGGGGAAGCTGGGGTTGACTAAGGTGAGATGGAGCTGGAGTTCAGGACGGGGAGCTGAGACTGTGGAGATGGCGAGGGAAGCAAGAAGCTGCAGTTGGTGAGGGAGCCAGGATGCTGGAGATGGTGAGAGAGAACTAAAGCCGAAGATGGGAAGGGAGGAACGACTCTGGGGATGGTCAGGGAGAAAGAGAGCTGAGAATGGTGAGAGAGGGGGGAGACTACAGTTGGTGAGGGAGGTAAGAAGCTGCGTTTAATGAGGGAGATGGCAAGCGGAGGATGGGAAGGGAGGGACGACTCTGGGGACGTTCCGGGAGAAAGAGAGCTGCAGATAAAAAGGGAGGCAGGAAGCGGTGGTTTTTGAAGGAGAGGGGAGGCTGAGAATAGTGAGGGAGGGGGGAGCTGCAGTTGGTGAGGGAGGTAAGAAGCTGCGTTTTGTGAGGGCGATGGCAGGCTGAGGATGGGAAGGGAGGGACGACTCTGGGGATGTGAAGAGAGTTAGGAAGCTGGAGCTAGTGAGGTAGAGAGAGACAGAGAAAGAGAGACAGAGACAGAGAAAGAGAGACAGACGGAGAGACAGAGAGACGGAGTAAGTGAGATATGGTAATGGTGGGAGAGGAGGAGAGAGGAGGAGTTTGCAAATGGTAACGCACGAGTGGATGTTGATGATCATTCGATTTGTTGCTACAGTAGTTTGAAGGACCCACTCTATTTGTACATTTTATACATCTCATTGTTTGTGCTGACCTTCTGCTTTAATGTAATTAGCCTAAAATATATATCTTAAGGTCTTCAATATATACTATCAATGTCTTTCACGTGGGCACCTCGCAGTGACCAATCATATGGCCTAACTTGATATCGGAAAGAAAGGCATCGTTATGTTGGGACGGGCTCTGAGTCGAAAGACTAAGAGGGGGGCTCTCGCGTCGGGATTAGGGGTTTCTATTGCGCGTCGGCCCTAGGGTGCCGATGCGGGCTGAGAACGCCGCGAGCGGGGGGTTCAGAGAGCCTGGGCTTAGCGAAGAAGATCATGGCGATTGCCTTTATCCTTTGTGAATACTCTTGAGACATCTCTGCCTTCCTCCCCTCTCTCTATCGTTCCACCTATGGTTAACTACTGCGCTGTCCATTGAATTCCAACTTACAAAGAAAAGACGCGACCTTTCACTAAACCGGGGTAATCCCCCACGCACAGTGTACCGCGAGTGGTAACCGTCTTCGGTAGCTCGCGGTATCCGCTACAGTGCCAGCAAGATACAGGGGGGTGAGTTGCTGGCCGGGATCGGTCCGAATTTCTCATCGGTACAGTATCAGAGAAATTACGGAGTCACAAAACTCGTGTTGATGCGTGTAAGAGCATCTCCACCGGTACTGAATCAAATGACCAAATACTCAAATAATCATATTTTGTCATTTGGTTTCAATTGTACGACTCCCACCGGGCGAATTCAAATGATCAAAAGAGAAAAAAAATTTACCTCAGAGGCAAAATCCTGAGGCAAAAACGGCTGATTTGCCTCAGGATTTTACCCCAGGGTAAAATTATTTCCGCAAAGTGGCGTCACAAGATTTGCCCAGGCAGGACTTGCAGGACTTTTGGCGCGAAAAGTGGCACAAGGAAAGGTAGCTCGATGTGAGCAGTGATCATTCACCTCCCCGCCATGTTCAAGAACATCGCGTTGGAAGTGTTTCAATCTCAACATGAGCAAAACAAGAGGGAGCAACTACAGCCTTGAAGAAGATTGCGCAGTATCTCGAGGGTGGGTGCGGGCTTCTGAAGATCCCATTGTTGGTGCTGAGCAAAAGGGCGCCAAGTTCTTCGCGAAAGTATGGGAAGAGTACAATGCTCTGAGGCCCGTAAACCTGCCCGCTCGCCCTCTCGAATTGATTAAAACCCGCGTCAAGCAAAACGTTAAGCTCTGCGTGTGCTTCTCCGCATGCCACCGGACAATCCTAAGTTCCAAGCCTACGGGCGTGAGTGAGGAAGACATGGTCCGATTGGCTATTGGGCTGTTCAACGACGTTAAGATAAAGGATCCAACTGACGACGTGAGAAAGCCGTTCAAGTTTCTACATTGTTGGCAAGTGTTACGCCACCACGAGAAGTATCTGGCTGGTAGTTCGTCACAATGCTCCAAGTCCGCAGATGCGTTGATGCAGCAGGAGACGGCTTCCTCTGAAGAGGATGGTGTCACGATGATGAAGGTGAAAGAGGAAGTGAATCGGTCGCATGGGAGGCCTACGGGTCGCCGAAAGGCTAAGGAGGAATTGCAAAAGACGCAGGCATTGAGGAAGAAGTTGAAGCTGGCATCGCAAGCCGTGGAGCTCCAGCGCGCTTGTAACGCGACGCTTGCTCAACACAACGACATTCTTCTCTTTACCCAAGCACCGCCGGGCTGTGATCAGTCTCAGGCCGTCGAGTACTTCACTATCATGCGAGAAGAGGCGCTTGCCTCGTCAAGACGAAAAGTCGCTGCTGCGCGGAAAGACCGTAACGAAGCCGCTTCACGCACACCTTCATCTGACGCTCCGAGGAGGGGAACGCCTCCACTGAACACAGTTGCGAATATGAAAGACACTGGCGAGAGCGACGGCGCTGTGGTCATGAGTTCAGATGATCAGGACAGGGATACGCAGGCTGAAAATGAACGTGGGCTGCTCCTGGAAGACATGCTAACCCATCCTCCGCCAGCCTACCACGATGCCAGTGAGGAGGTGTAGAGGGTCGTTTAACGCAGCTTGTTGTGGTCCGAGCGGCGCGCGGAGCGGCAAGGGCAAAGTCCGCAGCGGAAGGAGCTGTGGGATAACTCCTCTCCGCCCTGGGTTGGGTGAGAGGCGGAGGCTATAGCGAGGGAGCACGCGGCGTGGACGCGACGCGCTAATTGAACCGATCGGACGAGCTCGCGAAAAGGGAGTGGCTCACTGGCCGGTTACGCGCAGTCGCCCCGTGGTGCGTGAACGGGAGCGACCGGTAACGGGTTAGAAGCCAGCGCGCGCAATAAACAACCGAAACGGACGTATATAGGCGCGAAAGGGACGGGGGCGAGCTTGCCCCAGTTTACTGGTGGGGACGGGTGTCAGGTCTTAACCCCTCAGAGGGACGCCTCGGACACCTGTCCCAGTATACAGTAGTACAGTACCTGCCGCCTAGTGCGTGCCGGGTACTGTACACAATTAAAAAACTAGCGCCTCAATTCCTAATTACCGCGCGGACGCTGCAGCTACACTTGTATACTACTGTACACACGCGCTGCTTAGAGACTGCCGCACGGACGACACGTGTGCCAACGCACACTCGTAACACGCGTAGAATACCGCACGGACGACACGTGTGCTATTGTACACGTGCGCCACGCCAGGGCCGGTCGGTCAACGCGCGCGCTCCCTACACGTGGGCACACCCGCCCACGTGTGCACCGTGCACGGTCGCACGGTTAATAACCTCCCCGCGCGCTCGCCGGTCGTTATACTACAGGAGCCGTAGGCGACTGGAGCGGAGGACTTTGCCCGCTGCGGACTTTGCCCTCGCCGCTCCGCGCGCCGCTCGGACCACAACAAGCTTAGATTTGCTTTCCTTCGAAGTCCCAGAGATGATCCATGATGAGCCTTTGTGTAGTAAAGTACTCCTCTCGATGTTTTAGAAGCCTGTTGGTCTCGAAAAGAGCAGCTAGAGATCCTGGGGGTGGGACGGTGGTGTTTTGAGCGCCGCTACGCTGCAGACACGACCACATGGGCTTTGCTGAATTCCCAACGACCGCATCACATTGTAATTCGTCATCGCTCTGTGCATCGTCACTGTCACAGTTCTTACGATTTTCTACCATCATGTTATGGAGGATAATGCAGCACTCAATGACCTCTTTCATGATTTGTTTCGACCAGAAGCGACTAAGGCGTGCAATAATGTGCCATTTCGCTTGTAAAACCCCAAACGCGCGCTCTACATCCTTTCTAGCATGCTCCTGGTTGCGAGACATACACTTCTCCTTGCTGGTTCTCGGTTCCAATACAGTTTGCACAGACGAAGGCCATCTCGGATAGACACCATCCGCTAGCCAGTATGGAATGTTCCGCCTCTTCCCTGCGATAGTGTATTCAATCGGGGGAGGGTACTCGCCGGTAGCTATCTTGTTAAGTAAAGAGGATGCCTCGAGCACATTAACATCATTCGCGGATCCGGGAATGCCGAAGAAAGCGTGCCATATCCATAAAGAATGGTCTGTCACAGCCTCTAAAGTCACTGCCGGATCTCTCTCCTTCCCCTGAAACTGACCATGCCATGCCGTGGGGCAGTTTTTCCACATCCACTTGCAGCATTCCATGCTGCCAAGTATACCTGGAAATCCCCGCTCTTGCGATTGAGACAATAGACGCTTCAGATCCGCTAGCGTAGGTGCTCGCAGATACTCCGAGGCAAAACAATGAGACACACCGCGAACAAAATGCTCTAGGGCCTTCAGCGCAGTTGATTCTGCGACGCCAAGCGTGTCATCGACAGAATCGGCAGCTACCCCGTACGCTAACATATGGACGGCTGCAGTTGTTTTTTGATAGCTAGATAGGCCCATAGTTCCTGTGCAGTCTTTCTTCTGAAGGAAATATGAATCGCAGGAAACGAGTGCGCTATGAACTCTATCGAAAACCGTTCGGGAAAGTCGAAAGCGGCGCTGGAACTGTGCGGATGTGTATGTCGAGTCTGGGGAAAAGTACTGGTTGTACAAACGATTACTAGCTTCAATCCTGCCTCGTTCGATGTTGGGCGCCTTTCCCGCAACCGATCCCCCCCATCGCCGAAGGGGTTCATCCTCGCTACTCGAATCCAGAAGGTCCTGGATCAGGTCTTCATCCTCATCCCTGATGGCATCGTTCCACCAACTGCCCTCCATATCCTCTTCAACTTGAGTACGAGTTCGGCTCGTACCAAGAAGTGGTTTGGTGGGCAACGGGTGGGAACATAGAATTTCGGGAGATGAGTTTTCTGTTTTGGTTGGAAAGATCGTGAAGATGCCCTAAGCCTGCCTACCCTCGAACATGTCGCATTCCTGTCCACCCTTTGACTTGTTCGATCTACCAAGTCATCCGCTGACGACAATGGTACCCCAGGGAGCCACCCCTTGCCAGTAACCCGACCGCAAGGGTCCTCGATATCGCGAGGATTGCTGATCCGCCGTCGACGGTTTACCGCAAAGGGGCGCCACTTCATTGCAACTGAGCAAGAGAGGTCCAAATTCAGGTCTGAGACACACTAGATGGGGGCAAAGAGACAGAAGAACAAACTGGAGATGGGACTCCTGTCTCCTCTTCAATGTCGAAAGCGAACGGCCGTCAATACCGGGGCGCCCGAGCAGCGAGCATAAGGACAGGGCCATTGGGACGGAAAGGTGGTTGAAGGAGACGCAGTGGGAATCAATTCGCGATCGGTCGCGCTGGAGGAGAATTGGGACGCTGTCTCGCGAGAAGCAGAGAGATTTAGTATCTATATAAGCGGACTAGGTTATTCATTCGGTGGGACTTGGGCAGCTTAGCTTCATCCCTTTTGTTGCCCTCCCGCCTCCCTCTGTAACACATGTGTAGTTAATTCCTGAGAGAGGGGCACACGTTCCGCGTCGCATGCAAATGCGCGCACAAGGAAGCGTTCCCCTACCAGGCCTGGTAACTCGTCATAAACAATTGCTGCCACTGGGCCAGGTAGAGTCAAGACTTGGAACGCCGAAGTAGAAACCATATTGGTTTACCAAATGACCAAAATCTACCGTTCCAAAAAAATAGCCCAACCAAGTTCTATTCAGCCACTTGGCACTTAAATTTGGTTATTTGGTCATTTGATCGGACACGGGTGGAGATGCTCTAAGAGCATCTCCAACGGGGCGGGAATGTAATGTAAATAGGGCCGATTTGCATTTACATTTGGGGAAATCGTCTCCAACGGAAGATGTACTGCAAAAATATAGAATACTCGGGCCATGGTGGAATGCAAATTCGCCTGATTTGCAGAGCGCCCGTGTCGGGGCAAATGTAAATGTAAATGACACGTTTGCAACATTGATGGGTGTTCCCCGGCGGATTGAGAGGGGTTTGGTAGGAGCAGTAGTGAACGCGGAGGCGGCGCGCCCCGGCCCGCGTGGCAAGCACGCGATGCGGCGCGCACGCACGCAGGGAGCTCGAGTGCGGGGAGACAGCAGCGGGCTCCGGCGGAGAGACGTGGAGGGAGGGGGCGGGGATGCTGGGCATGGCGGGCGGATGGGCCGGCAGCGGGGATGGTTTCCGGTTTTCGGCAGTGGGCATGAAGCTCTTGCCCGCATAGCAAGCACGCGGTGCGTCGCGCGCGCACGCAGGGAGCTCCAGTGCGGGGAGACAGCAGCGGGCGCGGGCGGCGAGACGTGGAGGGAGGGGGCGGGGATGCTGGGCATGGCGGGCGGATGGGGCGGTGGCAGGGCTGGTTTCCGGTTTTCCGCAGTGAACATGAAGCTCTTGCTTCTTCGCTGGCTCGTTTCGCGCGATTTTGCATTGCACTAGAGGGTTCTGTATCTGTTCCTGCCAGGAACAGACACAGACCCCTCTCGTACAATCGGTCCAAAGTCACCAGGAGCGCGCAGTGCGCGCTCCTTGTGACTTTGGACCGCTTTTGCGGCATCGTTGGAAGCTTTCGGGTACATAAGCTGACCCGAGAAGGCCATACCTCTCTCAACATGTACGAAGCGTAGCAAAGCGCCTGCAGGAAACGAAGCGATTTCTTTCCACGTACACAGCATAAGCCCTCTAGTGACTGAGACCGACTCATCTGCCATCTCATCAACACCGGCAAGCGACAAGTCCAAAGATGATGATACTGTGGTGCCACTCGATGTGGAGTCTGCTGCAAGGAGCGGAAGGAAGGGGCGAGGAAAGCAATACAGCAACGAGGAGAACATCGGTGCCTCGCGTGCGTTCATACGAGCGTCTACAAATGCGGTCAATGGGAATGATCAGAAGTTCCATGTCTTCCGTGCTTCCGTTGAGAAAAATTGGCTTCTGGAAGCAAAGCGCCACCGCGGCGATGATGTACTAGCAAATCCCCCAGGGACCTGGGAGCATCGTACTGTTTCATCGGTCATTCAACACTACAAAGAAATCAACAAGGAGTCGCAAAAGCTCTATGGGTGTATCTTGAAGGTTGAGGCATGGGGTCCTACTGGAGGGCCTAGTGAAGCTGACATACTTCGCATGGCTATCGCAGTGTACAACAAGGAACCTATTGGCAAAGGGCTGTACAGGTATGCAGGCGATAATTTCAAAGAGCCAGAGCCAGCTTTCAAGTTCAAGCACGTCTACCTTTGGTTGAAACAGCAGGACCTAATGAAGCACATATCGAAGGGTGTTCAAGCAACATCTGCTGCGCGAGCTGCGCGGCGCAGCAACGCAGTCGTCAAACCAAATGACTTTCTGACTATGGCCTCTGCCTTCGACGCACACGAGGCCTCGCCACCGGTCACGTCCGGAAGCTCTGCCAACAGTCGAAACACGACACCGCCTCAGCCCGTTGTGCCGACTGGTGCGCAACCGGATGGCGCAGAGTCGTCCGTCGTTCAACGTCCTACAGGAAACAAGAGGCAGAAGACTACCAACGCCAACGCAATAACAACGCGGAAGCTGGCTGATTCGATGGAGAAGATGGCGGAGGCTACGGAGATGCAGAGCGAAATAGCGAAAGAAGATCTGAACACAGCCAAGACCAAGCTTGAGATAATTAAGGATCGTATGCGCCAGGAGGAACTCATGCACAAGGAAAAGGTGCGCTTGAGCGAGGAAAAGATTAGGAACAAGCGTTTTGATACGATGTTCAAATTAGCGATGCGAGCCGACACGCCTGCACATCTGCGTGAGAAGATCATGTCTTCAAATGTTATCACGGATGTCTTAGGAAAGCCTGAACCTGCTAATGACGACGACAGCATGCCTTGATGAAGTGACACGCCCTGTCCAGCGTCCCCGACGCGTTGGAGGTATATAGTTTGAATAGAAGGACAAGTTGTACTGCAATCCTAATCGACCCGCTCGCAAAGGCCTGCGCCAAGTCCAAGGGCGATCAGTCCGCCAAAGGCGTAGGCGACGCCCGCCCGCTTCCCCTACCCTCCCCGCTTTCTCCCACTCCCCACATGTCAGCGCTCCCGTGTCCCAGTTCGCCATAAACCGCTCTGCTGCCTCCCCTCCCATCCAAAATCCGTCCCAACCGAGATCACCTCCCTCCGCGCCGTCCACAGTCGATCAGAAAATCGCAGACATGACACCGGAACAAATTCTCGATGCCCAACGCGAGATCGCCTCCGTACTCTTCCCGGACAACATTTCCTCCTCAAGAACTGCTCGCGCCCTGCATCATCCCCCATCCCAGTTTCCGCTTCTCACTCCCTATCCACCCCACTGTACGCGAACGACCACGTCGAGCAGCAGAAGCGTCTCTGGATGACCGACGCTTGCGTTCCGCTCCAAAGCGATGCCTCAGTCGATTCCCTTCTGTCCAAAGCTTTGCACGCCCTAGGACCCCTGGCCTCCCATCACTTTAACCTTACGGGTCATTCCCTCAACCCACACCAAATCGCCCACCTTCCAAACCACCTCGGGCTTCACCACCATGGCGCAGAGCCCGCAAGCGCAGGCTATACTCTCGCAGACCTGCTGCTCCTCACTCGCTCCACTGTTCTCGGCCAGCGCGTCCTGGCCCTTCGCATTCTCACCGCCTTGCCTCAGAATCACGGCTCCACTGTTAAAGCTCCTCTCGTCGAATACCCTACAATGTTAGAAGTGGTTGCAATACAACTTGTCCGTGTTTTACAACATCAAACTTGTGTGTCAATCATCGTCTAAAACTAATCTCGATCCGATCTTCTCCCATATATGTTCCACCAGAGCAGCAGCAAGCTCGCTGTGAAGCGAGCAGTCTTCTATATCCTCGGCCGCTGGCGGTAGATTCTCTCCCGGGATGTATACACGAGAATTAGGCACGAAGCCGTCTGGCAGCTCTGCCGTTTCGTCTGCGCTAAGGTGACGGCCGCCAAACCCGTTTCGAGTGTACGTAACATCTCTACGCTTCTCCACTACCATGTTGTGTAAGATAGTGCAGCAGGTGATAATACTGACGCATTCTTCGCAGGCCAAGCTCGGGCTCCGACAGTGAGGATGTGAAATTGTTGAAAAAGAATGCCAAAGGTGCGCTCCACCACTTTTCGTACACTCTCCTGAACCCGAGAGTAGGTCCGTTCTTTGGGAGAGCGTGGAAGCGTAATCGTCTTTGCGAAAATCTTCCAGTCTGGGTAGATGCCGTCCGCGAAATAGTAGAACCACTTCAGCTTGTATGTACCAATGTCGATGTCGTCGTACGGGGGGTACTGCCCGGCGCAAACGTGAGCGAAATGTGGGCTCTGCGCCAGAATGTTCAAATCATTCATCATCCCTGGAAGACCGACGAACAACGACCAAATCCACGTATCAGGGTCACATATTGCTTCAAGGCGAATGGTATTAACTCCCTCTTTACCAGAGAATATCCCACTCCACGCCTTCGGACAATTATTCCACTCCCATCCAGCGCAATCCAGAGTCCCAATACACCCCGGGAACCCGAGATCCGCAAACGCTGCTAGATTCCTTGTCAGATCGGTCTCGGTGGGCTCGCGTAGATACTCTGGGCCAAACTCCTTGACGACGCCCTGGCAGAATTGCCTCAACGACATGATCGCTGTAGACTCTCCAATCTTAGCGTACAAATCGGTCTGCTGGGCTGAGCTGCCAACGGTGAGCATCTGGAACGCAGCCGTGAACTTCTGAACTGGGAGTGCACCGACGCCGCACGCATTTGGACGGAACTGGAAGAAGGGATTTACTGCAGTCAGACGATCCATAATCCGATCAACACATCGACGTGGCATGCGCCACACACGCTCAAATGTGCGCTCCGGGTATCGTGGTCCGAACTGCTTGGTTTTCGGGAATTCATCCAACCCCCAAAACCAATCGAGGCAGATGAGCCGCGCAGCATCATCGAAATTGCGTTCAACGTTGCGAGAACGGCCGCTTCTTGATCCCCCGTGAGGCTGAGGGAGAGAGGTGAACAGTTGGGCCGTCTGCCCCATCGCGGACATTGCACCAGGTGCGAGCGTAAAACGATGCGCTGGAGTTAGGAGGACCTCATCTTCGATCTCTTGGAACAAAGCGTCGCGGTTTTCGGAGGCAAGCACGCTCGAAGAGTCTGAAGAGCTCGAAGAGCTCGAAGAAATCGAATACGAAGCCTCCATACACCGCGTAGAGGGACTCTCAAAGCCTCCTTCGTTTACATTACATGTCGCCGGCCGTGCCCTGTTGGGGATGATGTCTGCGCATCTCTCCAAATCGTGAGGCCGATTTACATCTGCCACTCTAGTGATGACACCTGTCACAAATTTACATTGCATTACGCCTGCCCGTTGGAGATGCTCAAAAGAAAAACTTGGCCTACAGTAAGCATTTTTCTTTAAGTTATTTCTGTACCAGTAGCGTAGCAACATGGGCTTGAGTGATTCTTATTCGGTTCGAATTTTAGAAAGTTTTTAAATTCAATCAATCTACTAAAGAAAAATTGAAACCTACTAAAGAAAAATTTAAACCGTGACCATTAAAGTTGAAAAGAAATAGAATTCGCGGATTTTTATGTTATGATAACGCTTGATCGGATAGACACTGGGGAATTTGTGTGTACAAAATTTATGTGCGTTTGTGTTTTTCGGAGCCGCCTAATTTGCGATTTATGATTTTCGGAGTCCTCCATTTGTTCCCGTCGGTATATACAAAATACACAAAGGCAGTGGCGCGCAACCATCCATATGCAGCTTGGCACCTTTTTGTTTCAGAGCGCACGCTCACTTGTTGTGGTCCTACCTTTTCACCCGAACGACGTTGTTCCTCGAGTCGATCCATGTTTCCATAGAAACCACTAGCTCCACGTCTAGTTCAACCTTGGCAATCGCGCTTCCGTACTTCGTCAGATCAAGCATCTGAGTGGCCACGTTCTTGCCCTCATGCTGTACCAATGAGCTCAGTGGAAGCAGACAACTGCTGCCTTGCTTTGTCCCGAACCTTGTAAACACCACCGTCACATATTTATAAGTCAGATCTCCCAACCGTTCAACAGGGCGCAGCGGAATTTTCGGAAGCTGCTCATACTCACATATCCGTTGCCTCCCATCTTTCAGTGGTATATCAGCCCGGTAGGGCCGTTCCTTTATGAAAATTCCCATCCCGTGAAAATCTGCGTGTACCTTTCTTGTCGTATGGCTCGGCGATATGTCGGTTTCCATTCGTCGCAGATTATTCATCGACTTTTGGCCTACTGCTTTGTCCTGAAGCGCGAGAGCCCCATCGGATAGCACTTCATACCTAAAAATCCCATCATCCACATCCGTCCGCTTTTCGTACAAACCGTGCAAAACAAGCTTTTTGAAGTCGATCACACACTTCACAGAATCCCGCGGCGCTGGCAACGGGATGATACGAACCGGTAGTGGAATCACCATATCAAACACAGCATAAACTGGCTTGTGATCAGAGCTATCGATTCTCGGTACGGATGAGTACTCTACTAGCTTCACGTGATTCTTGTGAAGTGGAAGTGAATGCCATAGAATACGATCGCAGTACGACGGAAGACGCAGAGATTGGTAGGAAGAGTACCGCATCCCACGTTCCACTTTAAACGTTGGCGAAAACGTTATTTGACCCTCTTGGAAACCGGAAAATACGTTTCCAAGCGCCATTTCATGGATCAACTCGTCAAACTCGGCTATTTCTGCAAACCTTCCATTTGCAATCATGTCGATTATATAGCACCAACGCTCTTGATGAGACCACGTGATTGCCGCAGGTATTACCCGTTTCAAGTCAAGCCGGTAGTTTAAGTCTCCCATCCAGAACAGGTGAGTGTACTGATGCATCACTGGCAATCCATATTTTCCTTTGTTCCGCTCAACATTGCGCATGATTTCTATCACATCTTCATTTCGATGTTGCAAGAATTTCGCACCCTCATGAGCCGCCAGATGTGAACATACAAAACAGAATGTTGTATCATCGATTGTTAACTTGACTGCTACCCCACCCTTGTTCCCAAGCATGTTTCCAATTCCTGTCCCCTCGGACATCCGTTCCGTCTTCACAACTCGTGACTTATGCCGTTCATGAACAAAGACAAGCAGTTTGATCTCCATTAAATGATACTTGGCAACCAGCTCATACCCGTCGGGCATAGACTTTTCTATTACCTTGCTAAATTTCTTCATCTGGTTCCCTGTGTTCTGAGCCTCCTTGTTTGATGACTCCTCACCAAGAGCACTAGGCAATGCCGGCTTCCAGGGAGATTCTTCAACATCATTGTCTGACTGAAGTTTTCGCACCCAGTTACCTGTGAGCACGCGACGAAGCCTGGTATCTGCTTGAGGGTTCGGCTGTTTGTGACAAGGCTTATCTAGTAGCACCCCATCATCCAACAATTCTGCCGGCTCCGCATCTTCGCTTAACGGTCTGCTCACAGGGCTTATTTCCTGTATCCCACTGAAGTGGTGCTCATCACCCTGAGAGTAAGACCTACCGAAGTTGCTATCCCCTCTTGCCTTCGATGTGTCTACGTTTCGTGAGTGCAAATCCTCTAAATCTTCAAACTGCTGTGTGGGAACATGAAAATCATTGTCGTCGTCATCTAAAGAACAGTTCTTAGAAGACCCGACTACACAGTCGGCGTCATCGCTGAATCTTCGCCGCTGCCCTTGCGTTGTTTTCGTCCCGTTCTCAGGAAGCGGAAATGATATGCATGTTCTGCCCCCGATTCTGGGATCCTGGATATCTTTTGAGCCTCCATTCTGGGACTCCACCGTTATACCGTCGCTTGGAATAACGGACGAAAACCGATCGACTTCATTCCCTTCGTCAGCGTCAGTACCAAGCATGTGGTTGCTATCTTTTCCTCCATCCTTTTTGTCCGCCCTCCAACGCCGAGCTGCTCTCACAGCTCGTGAAAGCTTTCGTAGCTTAGCTGAAGTTGAGGATGACGAAAACGACTTTAGCGCCAAACTAGAGGATGAATCTGTTAGAATCTGCTGCCTTCTTAGCTTCGGCAGCCGCTTCTTTAGCTTCTGCCTCTGCTGCAGCGCGGGCTTCAGCTTTTTCTGTTCCAAAGTTTGCTTCTTGAGCTCCGACGGCGATAATATCAGAATCCTCAGCGTTTGTCCCAAGCCAGCCATGCAGGTCAACGCAAGGTTGGGCATTTCCTACATTCCAGGTACAAACGCGAAGCTTGAATCGAGTTGATGTTGACATTACATCCGGATGTGCGGTTCGAACATCAACTTTTTCCTTCCACACCACTTAGTCCTCCTCGGAAAGACCTTTTGCTTTCCTTCCGTGTTTGTCTTACAAAATGTTGTGGGACTTTTCTTCACAGAACCACACGTCACAGCAAGACATCAACACTTTGAGCTTTCCTCTGCCGCTATCTTTCACTCTAGGAGTTAGCACTTTGATAAGTTCGAGGTCAATAGCCATGCACTTGTCCTCAACCCAAGGTAAACGAGAAAGGAACATGGCTTCTGTGAAGCGTGCGATTTCAGTTCAATTATTTTTTTGTGCATTGGCCATTTTCGAAAAAGAGCATATTCGAGCGTCTGCTTCGTGCAGAGCCTGAATCTTCGTCTGCGAGAAGCAAACTGTATTAAACAGACTGCATCTGAAGGACAACCCCTGGTGGGGTGACAAGAAATCTGGAAGTCTGTAATTTAAGCTCTCTTTGCAAAAAAATATGCCTCTACCCGAATTTGATCTCTCTGTATATATGAGTAAACCTTGATGGACAATTTTCGCCATTCCCTTCCGCCGCGCAATAATTCACGTAACTTTAGAGCAAGGCAACCAGTGCGCTAAATTTCGAAATTTTAGAGATTTTCCCCTGTTGGCATGTCAACTGGTGCGCTAATCGCTTTTTTCGGTTGCTATCTGGAAGCACCTATCTCTATATTCGTTTCTTTCCTGGCGCAGGATAGAAATGGATATAGCACACGATCACTCAGAATTCATCGATATTTCATAATCACTATAACCAATCATCTTTCGAGTGCTATATGCGCCGTGCTTCAGACCCCTTGTCTTGGCGAAAAACTTGGGAAAAACTAATACTCGGCCCCTTGCGGGCCGTCACATATGGCGACGCACTTGTTGTGTTGCGCACTCTTTAGAGCGCTGCATGGCTAAAAATGTGCGCTATAAATTAGCGCACTGGTTGCTTTGCTCTTACTGCATGTAAAGACATGCAGCACTGTACAGTATGTGAATTTTTGCTCAATCTCATACTCTACCGTTGGTACTGTACATATGATACCTCGTACCTCCCTGTTGGTACAACCGGACAGAGCTGACTCCAAAGAGATTTTGTAAACCAGCAGTACTCTCTACATCTCAACCGCATGTTCTCTACAGCTTGTCGTGCTGTAGACTCCCGGTGAGCTGCTAAGAAAAGGCAAACCCTTGATGCGCAGTGCAAGGATACTCTTGCCACTCCTACCTCTGACATGCGACTCGTTACGATATAGACCTTGCAGATTCTCACCCTTGTCATTCGACGTTCGTGAGGTGGGGGCAGCTCCTTGCGGCCATGCCGCTAGTGAAAGGAAAAGCAATGCTCAGGGTAAGGGTATCGCATGATGCGTGAGCGCGTCTATGCTTGTTGCAGAAGGTCTTCCTATTGATGGCCGCTGCAGGTAGAAACAAGCTGAAACTGCGTTGAATGAGGACACCTGAGCTTTCTCAGTTTGAGCAAATGGTCAGGAAACCATTGCATACCTCTCCTGACTTCAAGTCTCTAATCCACTATTGACTTCGATTTAGAGCTAACCGTCTTGCTTTCGAATAACATATATTTACGTAATCTAATGTCGTCAGCCTGATCTGACGGTATTCTCGTAATAGCGCTGCATTACTCCACAGAGACCGTCCATGGCACATATATAGAGCACAAAGTCAAGTTATAACCACTGCATGAAGGTTAGCAGAAGATGGAGGGCAGAGGGCAAGCTTTTCATGTCGTTAGACAGACGGGACGGGTCAATCTCTTCCTGCGTCTAGTTTGCATTCAAATTTTCGTCGAAGGCGGATCAGTGCGGAAATAGCGACAATCGAGCAGCCTCATCGCAGGGCACAACCTCTCGAGGCTGCAGAACTGGCTGTCCACGCAGAAAGATCGGTTGCCTAACGGAGAGGTCAAATTCGAATTTGTCTGCATTCTCCAGAGCCAGTTCGGATCTTGGCGTCCGTACAAATCTTACAGAAAACGAGAAAGACATGGTCTTGTTTCGATTCAATTAGGCAGGGTTCCTTCACTAAGGAAGAGTGCAGTTCTCTGCCGAAGCACTGCCATATCACCCTGCTCAAAACTGGGGCAAACACCACGTTCCAAGAACTCAGCCGTGTAGAGAATAAATACACCGCAAGACCCATAATCATTTTGACGAGGCATATACGACGGATCGACTTCCACATCCCATGAATCAATGTTCATCTCTTGCAACCTCTCCTCCCCGCACTTATCCAGGACCTCGTCTGCTAGCCAGCGACGCAGAATGCCCATTGTATCAAGGACATCATCACCACCGATAGAGTCAAAATATAGAAGCTTTCTTCCCCGAAGGTCGATCGCAGTCAGGACCCAGTGCAAGTTATTGACGTTAATTGGAAACATGATCAAGTCTAGCTCGGAAACATGCTGATCGGCCCGTTGTAGCCACCTTTTCACCCCATCATAGTCGTATCTGTCACCATGTGTCAAGCGCGTGAAGAAGAATGTATTGAAGATGTGTGTACGAGGGCGCGGGCGATTGAAAACATGGATGACCTTTCCTTTCTCTTCATCAACAGTAACCTTTTCACTGGAACCCTCCGAAGTTGATGGGGTCCGTTCATCAGCAAGTCCAGCTTTGGACATCTTGGTGGTCAGCAAAAGAAGTTCTGGTGTCACTTCAGGGCATTCTAATTTAGCAACGTAAGCCATGTTTCTGGAATTGACCAGGGCGATAAAAGAGTTCATGAGCTCATCACTCAACCAGCGCGAGGCCCGAAGGCGACTGAAATCTCGACCGCATAGTTCGATGTTGGCCTCTTTGATATCAACGATGACACGTTTTTTCGCTCCGGTAGTGATAGACTCGTACTTATCCTTTTCCTTCTCAGACAGCGCGCGCAATCGAATATCTGGGTGTTTCTCTCGCCGTCCATTACGAAGTCGGTTGCTCATACGACGGGGCGTTTCATTTGGTGATTTCCCCTTCCCTTCTGTCTCATGGGTCTTGCGACTTTTTGCAATGTCCGGCTCAGACTCTCTGGTCGTTGGTTTTCTTTTGCTAGGCCGAGGGGGAGACCCGCCAATCTGTGACACAGGGAGGGAAGGTTGGGCGCAAACACGTTTCTTGGTCCCTTGGATATCCTTACGGGAACTGCTGTCCTCCTCCGCTTTCGATTGTCCTCCTTTCGTATTGCTTTTGCATGAGGGAGTCGGTAACCGAGTGACTGGGGAATTCAAGCGCGTGTTTGGACTAGACACAAGCGGCACGTCAGGATTGGGTTTGCCATCATCGCTTGTCTCGGCTTCTGACATTATTTTGGCGCTGTCCGAATTGTGGTCGCCAGATCCGTCAGTGGACGACGTCTCTTCCGCAGCAAAGCGCGCTTCAACATTGGAAGCAGGCGCAACGAGGGTTGCGCACTCTTCCGGGCTGCTGGCCTTGACATCGAGCTTCTCTTCGACGCCGTCCGCGTCGGGCTTAACGGAGCGCTCAGGTGAGTCGCGACTCTTCGGCAGGAATTGGGGATGCGAGGCGGAAACCGAACGCATGACGACGCGGCCTTGTTGCCTTGTCTTCCGCCCCTCCTGGGCGGGTCTCCTTTTCGGCCTGGCCGCCTTTCTCCGATCAGGTGACACAGGCGTCTGGACACTCCTGGCAGACAAATTCTCCTTCTCCCTGGGCCTCTTAACGGGCTCCACGGGGTCGGTCCTCTCCATGTGGCGCTTCTTCCGACCTTTTCGCGGCGACGGCAAGGCGCGATCGATTTCGTCGATCAAGTCGCAGACTTTGCCCTTCTGTCTCCTGCGGGCGGCCTTGTCCGCATTGGATTCTTGCATGTCGTCGGCATACGCGCCAAACCTCTCGAGCGCCGACAACGCGCTGAAGGTTTCTTTCTGCTTCTCTTTAAAAGTCCTGTAGTTGCGCTCCATAATGGCATTGCAGCGCTTCTTCGAGATCATGCGGCCCTTGAGTTCGGACATGGGGTCGCGCATGCGGTTGGCCATGGGCTCTGCCCGCGGCGGGGTAACGCGCAGTGTGATTCTGTCAGCCGTGGTGGCGGTGCGTTTGGGCGATGGAGTGTTGAAGACGGAGGCTTTCAATGTGGCCATCATGGCCGCCGCCGCCTCTCTGCGAAGAAGGAGTTCGTAGGGTTGCCCTTCGCGGCAAGGCGGAAAGAAGTGGAGTGAAGCACTTGGCGCGAAATTTGAAGCATGGCCTCCTGCCCGACGTCCCGTCCGCGGGTGCATGACATGCTTCGCCGTACACGTATTACACGCAAAAGTACAGGTGTACTGGCACCTGCACCGATATTTTATTTATCAATTTAACACGCTGTTCATCTACGGTACGACTTCGACTCGCTCCCTACCACCACCGCCCCGCTCGGGGGAGCGGGCTCTGTGGGTTGCGGGGGAGCCGCGTAAGGCTTCTCTCCGTCCTCGCTCGTCGCCGTCTCTCCCTGCGGCGCCTGCCGATCATACGCCCCATCCTTCGCCGCCGTCGCGCCCTCATACTGGTCCCCGTTGGCCCCCGCAGTCCCCGCGTGTTCATACCGTTGCGGTGGGGGATGCGGCTCCCCACGCACGCCGTGCGGCTTATGCGGGATCACAGCGGTCTCGTAGTACTCACTCTCCCCCCCCTGCGGATACCCATCCACGTGCGGCCCGTAGTTGGCGTCATAGTTCTTAATCACCGTCTCCTCCACCTTCGTCCTCCCCACTGGCTTCGGGTGCTCTGCAGGGTCTTCGCGCACCTCGCTGCACTTCTCGGCGTATTCGATCACGGGATGGCATCTCGCGTACTTGTACTCGTAAAAGTCCTTGCACTCATACCCCACGTGCACCTCCTCATAGCAGCACGTCTTGCTCACCACCCAGCATGTCTTCCCCTTCTGCGTCCCCCCCGCCTCCACGCGCTTCTTTACTTTCCTCTTCACCAGCACCGTCTCCCTCTCCAGCGCTTCGTACCGCCCGACCGTCGGCAGCTGCAGCCACGATACCACTCCCATCCCGGGGGAAGCCATCACCTCCTCGTCCGCATCACTCTGCGTCGCGGGCGGCGACAAGTGCGTGTTGATTCCGTTGTGCGGACCGCCCGAAGCGCCCGCACTACCCGCCGTGATGTCCCCATCGCTCGACGACAAGCCGAATGTCGACAGCCCCAGCGACCCGCCCACACCCAACCCGGTCGACGAGAACGACAGCGCAAGCACTAGCGGGTGGAGGCAGAGGGCAGTGAGTAGCGCGCCGAGGACGGTTGCAAGCATCGCGGAGGGTGGTGTCACGGATTGTATGCGTCGTCGTGCGACGGAATCGGTGCAAACTGGCAAGACAAACTTGGAATGCAAGGCGTGTCCGTAGTGGATTTGTTCAGCACGCAAGCATCATCGCGCAGCTCTTCCAGAGGAAGAAGGCGTTTTTGTAGTGCGGGCGCGACAACCTGGTGCGTAGGATGCAGCGGGAGGACGAGGCAGGTCGGTTGAGGAGGATTTGCGGACGGGCAGAAGGCGTTTCTTCCCTCGCCGCTGTTTCAAGTTTGAGTTCAAGTTTGGGTTCAAGTTCGAATGCAGGAAAGCGGCGTCTTTCATCGCGTGGCCGGAGACGATGGCCAAGGACGGCCCGGCGAGGGTGCGGCGCGACGCGGTGCGAGGCGGACGGAGGGTAGCGGGAGCAAGCGATCGGATGCAGAAAGTAGCAACGCGTTTGGCAGTATGGCCGCTGACTCGCTCGCAACATCCCCACTGGCATCCGGATTTGCGTACCTGTGGTCGCGATGTAGACGGTGGGCGGCCAGTCGGTGCGCGACACGTCGGCAGTTCGGCGAAGCTCCCCACTCCGCTGCTTCGGCCCCATGGACCACCGCCGCGGGCTAATGGCGAGCCGAGCCGACGGGGAGACTTTCTGCCCCCGGCTTTGGGGCCGTGGGGGCGCGCGCCTAACTCCTAATTTATATCCGAGGACCAGCTCATCGCGACGCCGCCACCGGTGCTTCGTCGTCGGGACGCGTGGTGGGGCGCCGTTTCTGACGCAGCCGAGAGACCGTCGCCTTCAGTGTGGGGGCGAGGGAAGCTCGACATCATTTCCTGGTCTGGAGACGGTGCGCTGTGATGCGGACTTACTTTACATGAGCAGGTATCGAAGTAATTAAGTTATGTTGCAGAACCATGTTTCTACCCGCATTCATTCTACTGCGGTTGTGCATGAGTGTTCGGCTTCTAATATCCACCCGAGGCGGGCTTGGTCTCTGCCTCATACCCATTCCCATCCGCGGAGTATCCACCCCCCGATGTCACGGGGGCTTCCGGCGCCTCATATGTCGCCGGTTGCGGTGTAGGCGCCACATACGGTACCGGATCGGCGTCTACTCCGTACGGCTTCTCCGGCAGCTCCTTCGTGTCATATGTCTCGCTCATGCCTCCCGTGGGATACCCCGGCGTGTGCGTGCCATAGTTTTCGTCATATTTGACCGTCTCTCCCTCCTCATACTTGACATATTCCTCCGGCTTGTCGGGCTTGTCGTCCGCTTCAGTTTTGTCGCACATCCTTTCATACTTAATCTTCGGGTAGCACCGCGCTTGCTTGCTTGTGTAGTCGTCCTTGCATTCGTACCCGTCCGCCTTTTCTTCGAAGCAGCACTTTTTGGTTTCTATCCAGCATTTGGGCTCTTCGGGCATTTCGTACCCGGTCTTGCTGCCATACCCAGTGTCGGCCCCGTTGTGTGGGGCTGGTGTTGCCTCTGTGTATGAGGCCGGGGCAGGTTTGCTGGCAGTATAGGGGGTAGCTTCAGGCGTGGGAGCTTTGTAGGCGGGCGCGGGCGTAGGGGTTACGTAATTGGGTGTAGGTGTGGATTCTTTGTACGCCGGTGCGGGAGTGGGTGCCGTGTAGGCAGACGCCGGAGCTGAGGGTGCAGGTGCAGGAGCAGGAGTAGGAGCAGGTGCAGGTGCTGCCTTGTGATGTTTGCCGGCGTACATGCCGGCTGAACTTCCGCCTGCGAGGTAGACGCCGCCTAGGGCGACGGGTGAGACGGCACATAGAGCAAGGACGGAAACGAACTTCATTGTTGGGGTTTGGTTGTGAGGCGATTTGAAGAGTGGGTTTTGCAGGAGAGTAGGTTGATAAATCTATGAGTTTAGGAGTTGAAGTTTGGCGTGAACTATATACTCCAAACAGTTTACACCATCCATATCGCAGGTCGCGATGTGGGAGAATTCCCTCAACTTTCGATACTGGGATTACGGCCCTATTCCGGTTCTGGCCTTGAGTGTTAATATGCTGTCGGGGACAAGCTATCGTATCCGGCACCTCGCCACGCGGAAGCCCCTGGGTCACGTCAGGGGTTGTACCTATTTTGTCCGTCTGCTTTACACCTTTCAGTGCAAGGGGTTGAGCATTTTTGTGTGTCGCTATTCACGACACCTAGACGCGACGCAATTTGAACTAAGTAACTGTCAGAAAACGGGGCCTATTTACAGACCCTAATCATGTTCAATGCTTGGAAATATGCGGAGGAATTACTTCGAGAGCATTTGTGCTTCCTAGCACAAATGTATTTGCGGGGCACAAAAACAGTATGAAAAGCAACTGAGCAAAGCGATACGGTTTTGCTAATGGCATTGGACCGCCCTCAATTTTTCACACGGATGTCCCGTAGGGACAAATTGCGACCCCTTGCAATGTGTTGGAGACTGAGCTTCGCGTGCCGTCCGCTCATCCTTTCATATTTGCCACGTACTTGCCCCGAGACCAGAACATAATCGTTTCTTCTTGCCTTTGTCCAGGAAGATTCTCCTTGTAAGTTAGCAGCATTTTTGCGGTTGACTGGTGGTTTCACTTTTAATATCAGCTTGCCATCGCCTCACGACCATTATGCTGCCAAGTTGGTGGACACCAAGCCCAGTCAGGCGAAATACTTTGGCTTTCGAATGTGTTTTTCAAGGTGTTGCGCAATCTTCGTAACACTATTTCGAATATCGAACAGTGTTTGGGAATATCGTGGATGTTCTGCGTATCAAAAGAGAAGAGAAAGGACCTCATGCATAATTATGTAAAAAGAAAATGGGCCTCTTTCCTCCTGCAACCGGCCCATATTGGGATTTTTGTCATTTTGAAGATTTAGTATCACCTGGCCTTGAAAGTGATCAAAACAGACTAGATGTATAGTTTGCGATACTTATCGATAGACAATGTTCGCTAAGCGCAACTGGAATTGACGTATCTTCGCTTCAAACATGTCCCGAAGCGAGATTAAGATATACAGTGGCGGCTGTTCCTAAAGGGGTGAATGGTTGCCATGATTTAATATCGTCTATCAAAACAAACGCATTTTGCCAGTGCACTTCTCAAAATTGATCCGTTTGTGAACCTTATGTATCGCAACCATGAAGAGATTTCTGAAAACTTAATACTGCCTTTTCCCTCGAAGTTGATAGTTTGCGATATTTTACGGTCTCTTTCACTGCAGAACGGACACTTTCAAAGCGTTCAATGAATGCGGAGCAGATGAAGTCTTCATTATAATTCTGGTCGTTATCCGAAATGCCACGGAGTACAGATATGCAGCTCACTGTTATGCTGCAAGCTCTTGATGCTCAAGCAGCTGCATTTTCAAACAATGATTTATTGTTGTGAATATACAATGATTTATTGTATGCGTCTGTATACACTTGTGTATGCGGGTGAAGCTGTCCAGGGAGTAGCGAGTGACATGCCGACACCTGGCATTCGACCGAGCGTGCACTGTCCTACACATCGCCGACGGCCGGGTGAGAGTCTCGTGACTTCTCGGCTATGTCTATTTCTCTTTTGTGAAAGAGAAATTCCCCTCGACGCGAGGCGGTGACAGGTTCTAGTAGAGTCCACTAAGAAGACTCCGGGCAGCATGACTGACAAAGACATAGACGGCACGGCGGCCGCCGCGCCGGTTGGCACACGCGCGCCAACCGCTGCGAACGACGCTGGAGCAGTGGCGCGTGCAGCCTGGGCGATCGCAAAGCCCGAGCGCCACGACTACGCGACTGCTGTCACTGAACTGAATTCCGCCCGACTGGTTGGTGAGGGTGGCATCTTCGATCGGGGCCCACATGTACCCATAACGCATATGGGCTACTTCAAGCCCCCTCAAGATGGCTTCCTCAACGAGCTCCGCTCCCGGGACCGGCGATCGGCCAAGGAGTGGGAGTATTTGAATGCTGCTGGCGTCTGGACGGAGTTGGGGTTTACAGCCCTCGACGTCGCGAAGACGCATGGTGGGACTATCGAAGATATGACAAGAAGACTCGTGCTCGCCTAGGATGCTATAAAGGCGGCGCTGGAAGTTTTATCTATGCGGGCGCAATACTTTCGGGACATTACGGAGCAAGGAGTTGAGACCGCCAGACAGATGTCCTTCCTTGTCGAGAATGGGCATGACGCTGTATTCTCAGAGTCCTACCGATCGGCCCAAGGTGCACTCACGTCCAAGACGGAAACGGCCGCAAAAATGTTGGCTAAGGCCAGGCTCCAACGTGCCTCAAGCAAGAATGGCAGCTCCCCAGGGGCTGCCACGGAAGAGTGACGGGCCCGCCTTTTGGCGGAAAGGACAAAGTGGGAGTCGGGGGACTCCCACTTTGGAGAGGGGTAGCACTGCGCGCGAACGCGGCTCGGAGCCGGAGGTCTGGGGGCTCCGCCCCAGCAGGGGGCCAGGGGCGGAGCCCTTGAAAGGGTTTCGGACACCATGGAAGGCGCTCTGGTCGGGGAGAAGAGGAAGAGACGTTGCCGGGGTCGCGTTCGCTTCTGTCGGCAGTTGCTGCGCGACCTGCGACATTGGCGTTCATTGACGCGTGGAGAAGGCAGGGACCTCCACAGGCTGGACCCGCATGCAACGATGCACAGCGATGCCGCGGACGTGGGATATGGGGGGACCCTAGGCGACGACGAGGAGACTGGGTCACCGGGTTTGTGGGAGGGTCGCGGTTTCTGGACGGCCGAGGATGGGACGACAAGTATAACGCTGAGGGAGTTAAGGGCAGTGAGGCTTCTATTGCAGAGGCACCTCGCCGACTACGTCTCCCAGCCGAGCGTGAGGCGGCTGCTGCTACACGAGGACAACCAAGCAGTCGTCTAAGTGCTGAATGTCATGGTCTCGGGTTCAAAGCCGATGATGGCCGAGCTTTGTCGGCTGCAGAAGATGCTGGTGGTGCTATGGGTGACAATAGAGGCGCGCTGGTTGCCCTCGGCCGTGATTCGCTACGCAGACGCCCTTTCCCGAACGTGGGACCCGGGAGACGCACGACCTACGGACCGTTTGTTGCGGTCAATACAGCACGAATACCGCTTGGACGAGGTCGTCTTCAAAGATCGCCCGGTTGCGGATACGCTGGTGGCCAGGAAGAAGTATGCTCTGACGCATATGGGGGAGTATTGGGGAGATGGGCTTTCACGTCTTTGGAATCCGCCATTCGATTTCCTTCCGCTCGTGGTGAGGAAGATTCAGGCCGAGGGCGGAAAGGGGGTGCTGATAGCCCCACACTGGCCAGCGCAAGCATGGTACGCGCGCTTGCGCGGGCTGGCAGAGGAGCTCATCGTCCTTCGCCCTTCCAACGACGGCCCCCCGTTGCTTCAAAGCTCGCGCCCAGTGAACGCCACATGGGAATTGGTGTTGGCAGGGATAAGGTAGCGCAGCTGTGAACGGCGAGGATCCGAGATGCGGTGCTGGCAAGAACAGGGATGGGAGGGGAGACGGGGGGTGCAGAGGTGGCGGCGGAGCTGCTGGTGTCGCATGGGTGGAGGGCGCAGACGTGAGCAAACAGGAGCAGTCAGATTAAGAAGTGGTTGGTGTTCTGTGATGAAGACGGTCGAGATCCGCTGCCTGCGAACGAAGGGGATGTGCTCGCTTTCCGGGGTTACATATACCTGGAGGGTAGGGTAGGTCCAAGCTCGAATCGCAATTATATCAGCGCTGTCTCCCGTTTCCATGAGACTCAAGGGCTACCCTCTCCGACGCGTTCCCCGCTAGTGTCTGCCATGGTTACTGCGTACATGAACAAGACCGATCGCGACCGACCTGAAGCGCGAAAACGAATCGGGATTAGTGCCGCAATCGCGATGCGTGTGGCAGAGTTTGGCTTGGGCACCGAAGTCGTTGAGGAAGTGAGCTCCTTCGCTATGGTCGTTTTCGCATTTATTTTTCAATGCCGGTCAATTTCCGTGGCACACGTGGCAGCAGAAGACATTGATGTCACGGATGCTAGCGTGGATGTAGTCCTGACGCATCGCAAAGCAAAGTCTTATCAACGCCCTCTGCGACTCTCCGACCGTCGCAATCCCGAATGGGATGCTACCGGGCTGTTGATGCTCAGGTGGAAGACACAGCGACCGGCCAATGCTGGTTTCTTCAACCTCCGAGCTGGAACGCGCTTGGGACTGCGAATTTGAACGCCGCCAGGTCATTGTCGCTGCTGCGTGTTGGCCCTGTTCCGCCAAAGGGGTTCTTTTATTCGTCACACAGCGCGCGAATCGGGGTGTACAATGAGCTTTTAGGACTCGAGTTCACAGACGCTTGGATCATGAATCGTTTGGACTGGGTATCTATGGAGATGCTACAGGTTTACTTTGATAGTAGTATTTCTGTCACCGCTGCGTCGCGCCTTATCTTCGCGCATATGCTGCCCCAAGGCCAAGCAGTCTAGCACGCCTGCGTCTCCGCATCGATCGCACACTCGGCTCCGCTTTGCGCTCCGCGTCTGTATACACTTATGTATGCGGGTGAAGCTGTCCAGGGAGTAGCGAGTGACATGTCGACACCTGGCATTCGACCGAGCGTGCACTGTCCTACATATCTCCGACGGCCGGGTGAGAGTCTCGTGACTTCTCGGCTATGTCTATTTCTCTTTTGCCCACCCATCCCCGTCAGGACGCCCTTCCCTGGGCTTCCGTCACATGTCTATTCTCTGATATTGTTCTTTCTTTGTTTACTTTTCGATAGATAGTCTAGGGTACTCTCGCTACCGCTGATATCTCGGGTGCGCGGGAGCTCCAACCGTAAACGACCATCTACAGTATCTTCATTCACCGTCGTGACCTTCACGTCTCAAGGACACGTTGATTGTGCAAGAGCATGGATTTCATGTAGAACCAGGTCGCCGGTTTGCATTCATTCTTTTTCCGAATTAATATTTAGTTTTCCCGAAATACATATGTACTGTATGATAAGAAGAAATTGCCGAATGCGGACCGGATAAAATCGTTTGCGCCTGCCAATCCTTCCTGTCTAGTTTTGCGACTTCCGAAGACTGTTCGATTGACGAGACTGGGACGCGACAAGGAGATCTGCCAAATGCAAAGCAGCCTGTTTGACTTCCATCCGTCAAACTGCAATGCATCCGAACTTACGACATCCGTGGAGCAGCCCGCCTCGACCGACTGTCGCATCTAGCCCATTTCATTACCCATCAGATGTGGAATAGCTCCTTCTATGCACCAGACAAAGAAAATCCATCATTACTTTCAAACTTGCAAGGCTGCTCCTCACTTGACCCATCATGATACCCTGCTCTTCCTTCACATTAAGTTTATTCGTCTTCCTGATCGCATGCACCGCTGCTGCATCCGTCCGGCCCCTGGACAATCGGCAAATCGCTGCCGTTGAACGACAAGATTCTTCCGTCTGCATGAACGACGGTATTAATTGCCGTTGTTCGAAGTCAACAGCTCCGGGGGCCTCTCTTTGCAAGCGACACGTTGGAAACAGTCAATGCACTGTTGGCCTATGTGATGAGCCTTTCCAATGTGATTGTAATGGAAGCTTTATGTGCAGCCGTGCTTCCACAGTCGGATACTGGGATTGTGACGAGGCAGGATCGGCAGCGTTCAGGACGACAGATTCTTGCAAATGTTCCAGAAGGAATAGAACAAAAGCATCTTACGCCTTGCGCGTAACTCAGCCACTAGCGGAATATATTCGTGGAGCTGGGGATCCCTCAACAGGCTGTGGTATGCCTTTGGACTTTTGGGCTTGATATTGCCACTTAGAAGCAGAGGATGATCGCTGGAACGGCTCACAACCTCAAGGTAAGATGTGCACTTTGTACATATCTTACCTTACGTATCTGGCAGAGCGCAGCGCGGTCAACCCAAGCTCATCTGCATCACAGAGACAACGTGCCATCGTCCGGGCCTGTTCTGCCCTTACAAACGTGTCAATCGCAACCGTTATCAACGATAGCAGACGGGCTAGAGATTGCGACGGATAAAATTAGACTGCAATCGCCAGGGGCCAGTAAACAGAGCTTCGAGAATGTAGATACTTTACCCTGACTCCACGTCACCACATGACAACTACCTAACAGAATGACTACAGTGCGCATGTTGAATTGCCGCCGAAGGCGCATCCGACGTCTGAACTACAAAGAGGGAAGGAATCTACGGATCAATGCAGCAGGTCTGCACCAACATCTTGGTAACAACATACGGGTCGCAGTTACCGGCAGGGCGACGGTCCTCAAAGTATCCACAGCCCTTCTCCGCGGTGTCGCTTCCAACACGACACGAGGCACCACGATCGGCGACTCCCCACTTGAATTCCTCAATTGAGGCAGTCTCATGGCGGCCCGTGAGGCGCTCCTCATTGCCCGAGCCATAGGCGGCGATATGTTGGGCGTGCTTCTTGCCCAGTTTCTCAAGGGCGGGGACAATGGCACCCTCGTACCCACCAGGCTCGCGCATGGCTTTGGTGGAGAAATTGGAGTGGCAGCCAGAGCCATTCCAGTCTCCCTTGACCGGCTTGGGGTCGTAGTTGACGTCAATGCCCTTCATTTCAGCGATGCGTTCCAAAAGATAGCGAGACATCCAGAGCATGTCTCCTTGCTCAATGCCTATTGCCGGACCAACTTGGTACTCCCATTGGCCAGGGGCGACCTCAGCGTTGGTACCTGAAATCTTGATGCCAGCATAGACACAAGCCTTGAAGTGAGCGTCGGCAATATCGCGACCAAACATCTTGGAACCAGACACGCCGCAGTAGTACGGTCCCTGAGGCTCCGGCTCACCCTCCTCCGGAAAGCCGATGGGCTTACCCGTGGCCGGGTTGATCAAAAAATATTCCTGCTCCAGGCCGAACCACGGTTCCTGTTCCTTGATGGTATCCATGGCAATAGCGCACTCGTAGCGAGTGTTTGTTGGAATGGGCTCTCCTTCGGGCGTATAGGTGTCACACATGACGAGAATGTGCGGGGTACCGCGGAAGGGATCGGGGTAGATTGCCTGGGGTTTGATGATTACTTCCGAGTTGACTCCAGGGGCCTGGTTGGTGGAGCTGCCATCGTAGTTCCACTCGGGGAGGTCGGAGAATTTGGACGGCGGCTCGGAGAGCATGCGAGCTTTACTACGGAGGCCATTGTAGCCGTCGATCCAGACGTACTCGGCAATGCAGCCGTCCTTCAGGGACATCTTCAACAGAGCGTCAATAGTGGCCATGGTTGTTGGTTTATGTGAGCGTGGGTATTAGAGGATGTAAGGGTAGAGAGTTGGAGGGGCGGTGGCAAAGGTGGGGGGGCGGGGCGGTGATGGGCGTGGGCCGACGAGCGGATCTGCATTGGTATTTATATTAAGTTGGATGGGTGGTTCTAGAGGAGACAATGAGGATAGGGCAATGCCGAGGGCAAAGGCCTACGGGGGTGAACAGAGCGAGTGAACAGAGCGAGTGGCGACAGTATGAGGCGCGATGCCCACATGGGTGACTTGCTGCACGCAATTCCGAGAGGATGAGAAAAACGAGGCGGGCAGGCAGGGACGGGGCGTGCAGTCCTTGAGACAGTGGTTCGATGAAGGGAAGGGAGAGCGAGCGCAGGGCGCAGGATGAGGCGAATTTCGTGGTTGAGTTGCGGTGACTTAATGCGGTATGAGAAGAGGGTAGGGGCTGACGCACGGTGGCAGTGCGGTTGCAGACATAAAAACTTTAGCGGGGGGGGGGAGCGGAGGGGCAATGTCTGCGGGGGCAGGTGTTTTCGAGTTGGCGGTGAGATCAGGAGCCCAGCGGGTGTCGACACCCGCCTCGGATTAGGGGATTAGGGGATTTAGGGGTTTATTAGGGGTTCTGAGAGATCAGAGTGCGGCACGGGGGGTGTGGGTGCGTGCGCGGCCTGGATGCCCGAAAACGGGGGCGCAAGGCGGGCCGTTTTTGCGAGATCTTTACACATGAGCAACACGACGCCGCGGCGCCGTGCCGCACCACCCAATCAAACACGGCCGCCGCACACATGTACAGTATTCACGTGTACCGTTCCCTGCTCGCGCTGCGGCTGGGCCAAGCGCATGTCGACCAGCCAATCATGCGCGCCGCCCTTCTGCCGGAACGCCTCTTCCGCCGATGCCCCGCTTCTCGTCCCGCCCCGCTCTGTAAAATTTACCTCGTCAGGCGGCTGCGAGCCGTAGATACCGTGTGTCCACGGCATGCACGTTGACAAACCCACCCTCGCTCCCCCGCCTTCAACACGGGATTGCTACAACGACTGGCCCGCACTATGTTAACCCTGCTCATGTTAAACCCTGCTTATGCCAAAACTTTTTCCCAGCCCCCGCCCCCGCCACCAGTCGCCTCACTCTGCAGTTCGTGTCAGGGTTATTCCACGCTGGTCTTGCAGGTGTGCGGTGTAATACTCGCGGTAAGTCTCATGAGAAACCATCCTAGTGTATCTGCCTGGTAGACCACTCAAACAATCCTTACTTCTGCACCTCCGCTGCGTCTATACGTGACCACTTGACTTCCCTCTCCACATATCCCGCTGTCCCGTGACTCACACAAGCCCCATATCTTCCCTCCCCCCCACCCACCCAATTATTAGTTGCAGGTGTATAAACTTGTTTCTCTTCCTTCAAATTTACACCTGCTCTTTGCAATGTCTTGCCCGTTCACCACGAAAATATCCAGATTCACCTTCAGAGAATCACAATTACTCGCTCTCAGTCTCACTTCAAAAAACAGGACAACACACCTGTGTTCCTTAGATCTCGCTTAGTCGTATCTCCTTTCCGATGCATATCCTCACCGGAACGGACCGAGAAACCCTAGATGTGCATCGAAACTATACTTTTATGCCCACAATATGTCTTGTTTGACAATTGGTTTGTGTGCCTCTCATGCATGTGTTCAATGCAAGCGAGAGCGACGCCCGAAACATAAGGTTTTCGCAGCCGCCTGCTCTCGCCTCCACTCTGGTCACGAGTCAACTTAAATTCTACCACCAGTCCCGTATTGAAGTGCCGTTTCTTTCGCGGGATGGCGCGCACTACACAGCGAAACGCCATCCTTCCAGTTTGCCATACTTCAACTAAAAAGAAGAGAGTGGAGTCAAGCGGTGAAATAAAGGTTATCTGGCCGCGACCGGCTGCAATTGAACAAGCAATGTATAGATTGGTCTACGTGCTTTGTGCAATCAGGGTTTGGGGCATAGATAAAAAACTTAATAATGCAGGACCGGCGAGGAGAGCCGTCTTTTTTTCGGATCGAGATTCGCTGTGTGTCCTTAAAATCTTTCATTGACTTGAAGTCTATCGCACACCTGTAGCTATCAAAATCTGCATTATAGCGAAGATTACATCCCATTCACCAGGCAGTACTGTTTCTGATTAAATTCCATATACAGAAAAGTTTACCATTAGACTAAACACTTCCAGCATGCAAGTCATTTACAATCGCACACCCGAAAAATATGACTGTGTGAGCATGCCGAAAATTCACCTTCATGGCGCATCAACAGCCTTTGTCCATTACCTTTTTCGCGTGCTAGGAAGGCTGTTTCTTTTGCATACACGCGATTGGTTGCTCGGATGAACTGGTGATGAAACGTCTGTGCCCCACATTTCGGCGGGAGTAGCTTCGCACCTGACTGCATGCTGAGTGCTATAGACAGTTATTGAATAGAGAAAATGGTGAGCAGGCCTCGGATGCAGGCCGACCCTTGTGTAATAGTTGTCCACCGGCCGCGAGCTCCTCTGTTTGCTCGGGGCTATGATGCTGGCCCGAGGCAAAGTCAAGTGGCTGGTATGATGCCACAAGGGCAAACATGTCGCACGAGAGCACCTGTGGACAACGTGCTTGTCGCTCCCGTTGAGCGTGATATGGATATCACTGTGCAGTACTACTATTTGAATGTGCACTGCGGGGCAGAAAAGAGCGCCAGCGGATCACCTCAGCTGGGCTACAAAACAACGCACTTGCGCAGTAGTCCTTCGGTGTCAAGATATCAATTGTGTTACACGTGTACGAAACACTTTGACTCAATGCAATAAGGAGATAATCGTCCCTCCTGTATGGTCGCACGTTTTATGAACGAAGCTCGATCGTGCAGTAGCAAAAATACTTGCCAAACGAGGGCTGCAATGCAAATACTTGCCAAAAGAGGGCTGCAATGCAAATACTTGATGCAAGTGATCCCGTCATGGATTGTTACCGAAACAAGGAGGCCAGATAGCGGTTCAAATCATTCACAAGCTCTAGCTTTGGGCCAAATGCATTTCACGTTTCCACGTTTCTGTTTGTTCCAGTTAATAAGCCAGGATCAACCAAGAAGATAGTGCGTAAATTAGAGTGGTGGGCATGGAGCATGCCGACTCTGCTTTGCAAAAATCTCCGCAGCGAGCAAGTGGTCTCGATGGCCTCGCTGTCCCAACATGTCCCAACAACAATAAACCTTACGTAGACACTACTGGCGCACTCTACACTATCATAGACTGTAGCATTTGGGCTGTCATGAACATGAATACCCTTCACGGTACAGTACTGTTGCGCACACGCACAGGTGGCAAACGGTGTCTGCTTTGGGACTGGGCGTCGGTCGCGGGCAAGAGAAAAGAGGGCATGGCGGTTGTGGTTGCGTGGACCAGCGGCGGGATTTGCGCTGGGAGAGAGACGGAACGGAATGGCGGGGTGTCGCGTACGGAAGAGGGGCGCGAAGAGGGTGATTGAGAGGGCCAGCGCGAACGGGTGAAGCGGAACTCTAGAGAGACGGAGCCCCGGCGCTTGAAGGCGCGGCGGCGAGGGTGGGGTAGGGAATATGAAGGAAGGAAGCGGGCGAGAAGAAAGAGGCGAGGGGGACTTGAGGTGGCTTCCTGAGGAGTCGAGTGGATTCTCGAAGGGCAGAGGCTGGCACCAGCCTGGACAGTGTCCAGAGGCCGTTGCCGAGAACCCACCTGGTGCATCAAACCCTGTCAACAGGGTTCGATTTATCGGGCACAAAGGTATACAGTATTGAGAGATCATTCATCGCACTTACAGTACGTTGCATGCCTCACAAGGAGTAAGAGCGAATTCCTGGCTTTTAAATTTCATCACAAGCTTTCCTGTAGCAGCGATTTCACTCGCTTATCATTTCGAGTAAATCAGACTTTGCACATGCGCTGCAGTGGACTGGATCAAGGATTGCAATGGCGAAGGCAGCGTAGTATTTGGAAAAAGGATTATATATATCCTATAATCAAACGATTTTAGAAACACAGCTTGTCCAACAAAGCAGGTCGTCCTCCTTCACCTCGCAGGAAGTGATACTGTAGTCGCTTGTACGGCGGAAAGAAACTATAAGTCGGGATGTGGATCGCGGAACTCGCAGATGTCAGTGATTTCTCGTTCCGCAGTTTACAGAGATGTTACACCTTGCATGCCAGGTATGATACCTGCGAGATTGGGATTGTATAGACTAGCGATTCGGGTCGGGGTTCCATTGCTTGCACATTTTCAGTTGTACTCCGTATAATGCGTTTGAATCAGAAGGCTTGACGATAAGAATGCGAGCGGGACGAGAGTGTGTGGACATGAATCCCGTGGCTTGCTGATCGCAACGTGACAGGCGGTGTGTTTGACTGCCACTCGCTGTTCCCTCGCAGCCTTCCCTCGCTGCCTGCCTTCCCTCCAGTCTTCCCTCGCAGTCTTCCCCCGCAGCCGGGAGATGTGGCGTTGTCTGAAACGAAGATCGCCTCTTTCAGTTTGGTGGAAAAAGATCGCAGTGGTGTTATTCATTACAGAGTAATGACCGTGGGCGTCCTTTGCGCTGCGTATGGCAAGTCAAGAACAAGTGCAGGCGCAAGGGCGTGTGCCCATTTCTGAGGTACAAGGGATGCAAATGGGTGGACGTGTGCGTCATGCTACTGGCGGACGGACGTGACTTGGCCCTGTTTGGTTGGACGAAAATTCCAGTTGCCGTATTTCTGTACAGTTGCACCGCAGTGTGACGGGGTGCACACTCCGTCACTCGAAACGGAACATCATCGACGGTCTGATTTGCTTCATAAAAGGTGCATGCTATGAAGGTACGTTTCGGAAGGAATCTTCACTTGACCTCTCACCTAAGCCGCGAACGTTGTCACGACCAGATCGAGACCCGTGAACCGCTTGTGGAGTACAGCGCGCTACCGGTAGGGTAGCTTGATGGGCGAAGCCTCTCTGAACTCGCAACGCAACTAGCGCGGCGAACGCGGGACGCGCGGCGCGCAAGCGGAAAGGTGCCGGCGGAAGAGCAATTTGGGCGAAACAGAGAAAAGCGGCCACTGCTGCGAGAGGCGGCCCAAAAAAAGTTTTTTTTTCTTTCTTTTCGATCTCCGTCGCCCGACACGCGCGGGCGAACAGACCGAGGACGAAGATGGCATCCTCGGTTCTACGATACAAGCACCGCGCCTATACAAGCACCGCGCCTGTACGCGGGCGGTTCCGAAGCGGGCAGGGTGCGAGCGAAGCGGGGACGCGCGGGCGTGAAGGCTGGCGAAATGGCGACCGAGGGCAAGGCGTGCGCTCGCGCGCGCGGAGGGGGGCAAGCGAATGGACGGCGCGATGGAAGCGCGAGTTGCGACTGGAATGATGACACGAAGACCAAGCTTTATGGCAAGCGATGTGAAGGAGGGGCAAGGGTGCACCGAGTCGCGGCAGGCACGGGGTTGATGGCGGAGGGCGCAGAGCGGGACGGGAGGCTGCGCGGCGCGGGCTTCAAGGGCGGGACGTGGAACGCTGGCGCCGCCGGAGATGATGCCCCCCGGCAACGGAAGGAACGGCGCAGGTGAGCCGAGGCATAACGCCGCGTGACGTCCTTGTTGGACGGCCGTCGTAAAAAACGGAAATTCTTTGTCGACGCCAGAGCGCCACCGTCACCCGCCCGACAGCAGTGCACCGCCGAGTGCCTTTTGAGATCAGACCCCGCATGTGCGAGCTGTCGTCTTCAAGCCAACCCCGACCCAGGGCGCCATATAAAACCCCGCCACACCCAGCTTCGTACCCCCCTCCTCCACCCTCCATTCGACTACACGCACCATCCACACTGCCCGATGACGACCGCCACGCTTTCCGACCTCCTCGCCCTGAAGCTCCCGTCCGAGGAGTGCATTGCAGAGTACGTCTGGACGGACGGCTTCGGCAAGCTCCGCAGCAAGGCGCGCGCGCTCTCCTCAGCGCCGTCAGCCCCATCCGACCTCCCGCACTGGAACTACGACGGGTCGTCGACCGGGCAGGCGCCAGGCGAGAACTCGGAGGTCATCCTGCATCCGCAGGCGGTGTACCCGGACCCGTTCCGGGGCGCACCCCACATCCTGGTCATGTGCGACACGTACACGCCGGACGGCGAGCCGATCCCCACCAACTCGCGCTTCGAGTGCCAGCGCGTCATGACCAAGGTGGCCGCGCTGGAGCCGTGGTTCGGCCTGGAGCAGGAGTACTTCCTCATGGACCCGGCGACGGGCAAGCCGGTTGGGTTCCCGACCAAGGGCGAGCCGGAGCCGCAGGGGCCGTACTACTGCGGCGTGTCGGGCGGCAAGATGCACGGGCGCGACGTGGCCGACGCGCACTTTAAGGCGTGCTTGTACGCCGGCATCAAGATCTCGGGCATCAACGCCGAGGTGGCGCCCGGGCAGTGGGAGTTCCAGATCGGGCCGGCCGTGGGCATGGAGGAGGGCGACATGCTGTGGATGGCGCGGTACCTGCTGGAGAGGATTGCCGAGCTCAAGGGGCTGGACGTCAACTACGACCCGAAGCCGGTCAAGGGCGACTGGAACGGCTCGGGGTGCCACGCCAACTTCTCGACCACGCCCATGCGCGAGGCGGGAGGGTACGAGGCGCACATCGTGCCGGCGCTGGAGAAGCTCTCCGCTAAGCACAGGGAGCACATCGCGGCGTACGGCGCGGGCAACGAGGAGAGGCTCACCGGGCACCACGAGACGGCGTCCATCGAGACGTTCAAGTGGGGCGTCGCCGACCGCGGCGCCTCGTGCAGGGTCGGCACGGACACGGTGGAGAAGGGATACGGATACTTTGAGGACCGGCGCCCGGCGGGCAATTGCGACCCGTACATCGTGACGAAGATGCTGGTGCAGACTTGCTGTCTTGATGAGTGATCTGACGCGCGTTTTCTCTCGTTTTTTTTTGGGGGGCCGCGGCGGGCGGGCGATTAGTGTGCGTGCGTGGTGCATGCGCGGAGTTGACGAGACCGTGGTGGACTTACGTCCAGGACAATAAAGATGCTATACTGTAACGGTACTGTACACGCGCTCACGAGCTAGAGCGATGTGGCATAGCGACTTTGCATGCAGCCGTGGTGAAACGCCGCTCGTTGAGGTGTTAACCCTATCGTGCCCCTTGCGTGAGGGCCTTTGTCTGCGATGAACGTCGTCCCGGGGAGTGTGGCGGTCTCGGCGAGGAGCCCCATCCCACGCACGAGGGGATGGGCATCGTTAACAGGGCTTGGGACGTACGGGACGGCGTTCTGTACGGCGTACCGTAGGATTCCAGGTACGGACGGGGTGGGCGTTCGCTCTCGCAACGCGCGCGGCGCAACACCCCGAACCAGGGGGGTGCAGTCGCAAGCGGGGCGGGCGCGCTACGTCTCCGCGCAGCAACAGTGCAAGGCGGCGGCACGGGCGGGCGGGCGGGCGCGGGGGGGGAAGCCCCTCACGAGCCCCTCACGAGCCCCTCATGAGCCCCTCACGCCGGCGTCAGAGGCGTCCACAGTGCCGTTGTGGTTGCTGAATGCCTGGTTGATGAATTCTGGGTGTATGATGGCGCGTGCAGTGATGACGTGGACGGTTGCCCGCGCACATCATGGTATGCAACACTTGGGCGCCTCCCGTTGGATGCATCCGGCGCATCCAGCCTACACGCGCCGCGGCTTTACAGTCGCGCGCTGTCGGCGTCGGCCTCGTCTATCATACCGGCGTCACGCACCCGCAGCCAGTGCGCGTGTGCAGCGCGTGCGGGCGGGGACGCTGGGGAACGACGAGGGGACGTGTACACGTCATGCAACGTGCACACGCCGCGAACGTACAAACTTGTACACGTCTTGAGACCTGTGCACGTCCTGGGACGTGTACCCGTCCGCGACGTTTCCACGCAATGCGCGGAGTAGCCACGTGTGGGATAGTCATACGTGTACACGCGTCGGGGCGGCCCAAAACGATATCGCCGGCAAGAAATTGACACCACACTTGCAAACTGATATACAGTAGAAGGCGATTCCGGACAAAGGCCCACTTTTTCCTCGAGCCCCAGACCTGTACCTTCAAGGTAAATTACTCGCAGGGGCGCCTGTCTAATTCGATTTTGTTTTCGACGTAGGAACGAATTACGAGCTCCATTTCTCCCCTGATACTGTATGCCCATGTACAATACAGTAACCAATTTATTCAGATATGCTGGTGACGGGGAACTGACTGAGACCCTCGCCTCCTTCCTAACCGTGGCACCCCATGCTCTCCAGCCAGTTGTCTAAACCGACACGCCCTTAACCAACCTTCTTTTACTGACAAACATCACTATCTTCCCTCTTCCCGCCTCCCGGCAACATCCCCAACACAGATTAAACGCAGTTCCTTGCACCTCTCCCAGTGCCGTCTCTCTCTTCGCTCGTTCGTGCAGGCACAGCGATCTTGCATCGGTGGATTCGAAGGTGACCAATGAGGGCATGTCTATGGCCCACGTACGACTTGTCGATTTGTGATTCGTGCGCAACTAACTTGTATCGCGCAAATGAGATCGGTCTACTGTACATCGATAACGGATGTCCATTCACTGAACCCCAATCACGCCTGTGTTGTATAATTGGAATGCCTGGGAGAGCACGGGAGCTGCGAATTTTCTCCATTTGGTTGTGCAACAAAGTACTTGTACCTACAGTACTTCATGCGTGTCCATCTCTCTGACGATAAATTCAACATTAACCTGGCACAGTTTCTACTCCTCCCTCATCACCCATCCACAAACACATCGCATTATACATGAATGACCCCGTAATGTAATGCGTAGAACGAAGGAAGCGCCCTACTTTGTTTCCTTTTACGTCCACACGCGTTTCCGTTCCACGACACACTGTACCTGCGCCAGTGCCCTATTCACTATCTCTCATTCCCGGTTAACCAACAACTGCTTAATGCTCTACTCCGCTTTGCCTTACCCTTCAATCCTATACTGTATATACTGTACAAGCTCGACACTGTGGCACTTCGCATGGGTTCAACCGCCCATCAAAAAAACAAGCTTCAACTATTTTCTTCTTCCCAACTTTTCTCCGCATAGAAATACCCCTAAAACGTTCAGAAAGACGGAATGACCTGCAAATCTCCACTCTCTGTCAGCAATTCAAACTATCTCCCCTTTCATTTTGGATATGCACATCTTCTGTAGATCCCAACCCAATGGCATGGCCTTGGGTATAAAGCATCAATGCTTGTAGGTAGCGTTTAAAAGCCACGCCCCACCTCCATCGTCTTCTCACCCATCTACATCTCGTGCCTCCTCTCTCCGTACCAAAAACAGTGCCCTTTTCCACCAGAATCTCCGAAATGGCCTCTGCAGATCAAGTTGTTGACATTGAGAGCCTGAAGGACAATCCTTCTGAACAGAAAGCGCTCTCCGATGACGACCGTACAAGCAAGGCCTTCTTCATTGAAGCTGCTGCCTTGCTCACGATATGGAGTTTGCTGGTCATCAACGAGGGAGCTATTCGCCTGGTTAACTCTGATCCCGCTGGTGGCTTGGATGGAGGTCGACCTCCATCTCTTCTAGTCTTCTTGGCAAGTCTTGCAGAAGTTTTCTTCGGCTTGGTTGGTCTCTTCGTTGGTGTTGCTGGATTCATATTCAGATGGTACAGTACGAGTGTGACGAAGGCTTCTTTGCTCTTGCAAACTCTCCTCGGATATTTTGTCTTCGCCATCTTTGTTTTCGTTGTGCCGGCAGTCAAAGCGATCGATTTGGAAGCACCAACGGGAGAATTGACCCTGGGCCAAGAAAAGTTCTTGATTGCTCTTGGTGTTTTAACATCCTTTCATTTTTGCCTTGCCTTGCAGGGCGGACAGTTTGTCTTCTTCGCACGTCTCATTTGCGCAGGGACCGGGCAGAACTTCCTCATGCAGAACACAGGTAACCGCATGCGTGCGATATTCTGGAACGGGAACCTTGGCTTCGCTGGCATCTGGACTCTGATTACTGGTATTCTCATCAACGCCAATATCGGCGGCGGGAAACTCGATATGCCGTTTCAATCTCCCCCCAATGTTGGAAGGCTACCAGCAATGACAATTGTAACCGGTATATTGCTGATTTTGTGGGCTGCGATGGGGATTTTCTTGGCTCTGTCAAGCAAGCCAGCACCATGGATGTACTACCTTCTTAGCGGTGTTGTATACTTGTTTTCTTATCTGAATTACACCATAGTCCAGTTTGGGGTGATGAAAAAACCCAATCCGATGGGCCCCAGCCCATTTGGGGGTCCTGTTGCGATGCATGGTGGATTAGTGTACATGGTCGTATTCCTTGGTCCCTATTTTGTTCATCTGGCATCGAAGGAGAAGAACGGACATTCGTTGTAAGGAACATTACGGGAGGACAATTGTTGGCACAGCGCTCTTCTCAGCTAATGGGCCATTTGCAAGCATGATGCTCCATAATATGTGCGACTCATGTATTCCGGCAAGGTGCGCACATAACGTAGAGATAGACAACCATGGAAGGATGGCATAAGAGATCAAGTGAAGTTGTATATAGGGAACTCTTTCTTCCAAACAAAACCATTCGTTAATATCATATTAAAAGGTTTCCCATTCATCATGAAAGCAAAACTCGAGACTCTCCGCGAAGTGCAGGGCATTTGGAGCAACAACCGGACCGAGCCTCGCATTTTTCCCTGTCGATAGATATACTGTAACGTTGCAGGGGATGAAAACATGTCACTGTTGAATAGTGAAGTACGCTAATAGAACATATATCGAGCAGTACTAAACTAAGATCAAAAAAATCCATCATTGGGGCAAAATGCCACAAGAAGTCATCACAGAGATGCCCAGTCACGCTGCTCTGTCGTAGCCATTATCGGCGTATTGTAACGACTCGCGGGCAAGACCCTGGCGCGGCGCGAAGGGGAAGAGAAAACCAAGGACCTTACAACGACCCACACGGCAAAGTCACACAGCAGAGGTCTCCTCTGAGTGCGCTGCCTTTATTCTTCCCAACCCCCTGCTGCTCTCTTGGCCCTTTATCCTCCTCCGCTCCGGCCCGGTCGCGGAGCCACCCGCGCCCGTCGGAGCCAGGCACGCCAGCTCGTGTGCCTCGCCCTTTTGGCCCGCACGTCATCGCCCCGCGTGTAGCCCTCGTCCGAGCCAAGGGGTGGCAAATAAAGGTACAATCTGTGAAAACCTAGGAACTTGGAACAGCCCTATTGGCTGTTACCTTTGCTAAGCGAGAGACCGCCCCGTCCGGGGCGGTCCCCTCCAGGCCACCTTCATTCCCTTACAGCATCCGCTGCTGTCGTGGTCAATCCTCTCACTTGCGCACCACGGCTCTGCCCCTTACCGCGAACAGCTGCGTTCGCGCTCGCTTGCAGACCGGTGTTTCCCAACAGCTCCGAGCTATTGCTACTACCGATCTGCACCGAGCAGGGCGTTACAGAGTCCCATGAACTAGTACGTCAGTGCCAGTTCATTTCATGGAGCAAATACGAAGGGCAAGCTTCTTCATACCCCGCTTGTTCGGGGCGTGCAAGAAATCCTGCAGCATTGCAGGTAGGTCCTCTGCAACGTGTTGCAGCGGCTCCCAGGTCAAGTCGACTGTATCAGGTAGTCCATCCCATTCAATCTGCAGCTCAATGTTGCCGCTTCCGTTTCGAATGTCCCTCACCTCCTTGGCGCTCTCGTATCTGGCCTCAGTGTGCTGCGCGTGCCGTAGCAGAGCAGGCTCGGCCTTGAGGCCATCTATGTCAGCCCTATACAATAGCAGCCTTTGTGCATGTACCGTCTCGCGCTTTTCTTCCAGCAGACTTTCGACCTCAAAAACAACTCCTGAAATGACCCGGCAGATGCGGCGCGGGCCCCGCCACCAGAACTGCAGCTTGTGTCCCTTGCGTTGTGCCTGGCAAACTAAAACGAAATCTCCATTGCCAAACTGCGCGGCCTTGACATTTGTTTTTTTGGTTGTGCCGGTCTACCTGTCGCTGTGTAGACAGTTACACTGCCACAAATCGACACCAGTGACTTGCGCACGACAAAAGGCGAAACGCAGGTCACTGACAGGAGAAAAAGATAAATTCACCGACACAAGCCGAGACACAAACCGACAGGAAACGAAGCGAAACACTGGCAGCAGCGAAATCAGCTTCGAGCAACCAAAGCCTTCAGACTATAAGTAGCTAACTTGTAGGAGTAGAACGAGATATAGGGCCGAACTCAGAAGTAAACTCTCCTCTCAACACCAGTGGCCGACCACCCGAGTTCGACCACTACCCGGACGCTGTCCGTACCTCCGCACCCCTACCTTTTAGGGTACAGTTGTCTCCAGAAATTTCTGGCCGGCCGAAAGACGTTTTGTACTCTGTCTATGGGGCTGGAAACACGCGCTAAGCACTACCGAGCCTCCCCGCAACGCTTTCATGCGCAATCGCGTTCGCCTGAAAGTTCGCTGCCGTGTACGATGGTCAATGAACCCGCTGATGGCACAAGCGGTGCTGTGACCGTGTTCCAATCAATCTCGCATCCTGTCCTGCGTAGCCTCGACCCAGTGAAGGTGAGCGTTTTTATCAAGGAGCGCGAGCGCTACGACTTGACTGTTGTCGAGAGGAAAGCCGAACTGCCGACCCTTACAGCCGCCCCCTATACAGCATGCATCGACCGAGCCCTGTTACGCAACATGCACTTCCTCGGAGAGTTCGATATTATTGCCCCGGATGTCTCGGCAGAGAACTTGACTTCCGAACAAATTAAGGCGTTCATCCACGGTCTTGTCAAGAAGCCATTGACTGGTTACGATCCCAGGGCAATCGACGACGCCCTGAAGGGCCTATCAATGCCAAACAGCATATCTGACGCACAAGCGCGGGTCCTGCACTTTGCCAACGACTTCTTTGAGCGGCTGGAGGCGATTGGGTATGGCTCGTTTAAGGCCACAAACAAAGAGAAGACTGTTGAACTCATGTGCGACCACGTGACGCCTTACCGGCTTCGTGAAGTAATGTCCCGCAAACTTGAGTTCGATAAATCGCTCAGAGAGGATGTGAAGGGAATTGTTAAGGCCCTGGTGGTTGAAGCAGCATCATGCCAAACCTACTTTGTTTAGAACAAACATCATCGCGACCGTGGGCGCACAAATGATTCGAAGTCAAGCGCTAATAGCACGACTAAAGGCGACCACACTATCTTGAAGAAAAAAGAGAAGGATCCGCCAGTCTGCCTTTTACCGGCGCAAAAGGCCAAGGGAATTAAACACTGGCTAAAGGACTGCCCGGACTGTACCGAAGAAAAACGCAAGAAACTTCGAGAAGAATATAAGAACTCGAAGAAAAGCAGCAAGAACGACGGAAGTGCCAGGCGTGTAGAGACAAATCCTTGTGAAGGCCCAAGTAGTGTGGTCTTTAGTGCTACCTTCGGAGACCGCCATCGGGACATTGTAATGGCCGATATTGGGGCCGACGTAAACCTAATGGACGCCAAGACACTTCACAAAATCGAAGCTGCTGGTTGCGACGTCAACATCAACACTCTCCCACACCCACTTCGCCTCAATATGGCTGCAAGCACTTCAGCATCTGGTGAATCTGCTATAATTGAGTGCGACCGAACTGCGGTCCTCACCCTTGAGTTACATGTGCGGCACGGCTCTACACTTGTGTTGCGTAACCTACGCTGGGTTGTCACGAAGCAACATGTTGGTGAATCCCTCCTCGGCCGCCCTACACTGGAAGCTCTCGGACTTAACTATGTCGATATCCTCGCAAGTGCCGCCGATCGCCTTAATGGAGAAACCGACCTGAGCTCTTTGCATGCCGACATTATCAATACAACCGAAGGAAAAGTCTCTAGATTGTCGCATGAAGCGGTGTTTCACAGTGACAAGGGCGTCGATGACTTCGCCGAAGACGAGGAATGGCTTGATATGGGTGATGACCAACCGGAGGAAAGAGCATCTGCGCGACAAGCCCTATTCAACAAAGCTGTCACAAATGGGATCTCAGGTGAAGGAGCGACAGAGCTGCACAACATTCTAACTGAGTTTGACGACGTCCTGCGTATCATACATGGACCGGGACCCCCGGCGGATGTCGAGCCTATGACCATCGATCTCATCGATAATGCAAGACCTGTCCAAGCGCGAACACGCAGATACCCTCCGGACAAACGCAAATTCCTCGAGAGGTACACAGGCAAGCTTCTCGATTACGGTTTCCTCAAGACCACCAACAACGCTGAATGGATAGCTGCGCCACTCATCGTGCCTAAGGCACCCCCGGCTAACTTCTGCCTAACCGTCGACCTACGTCCGGTCAACGCCGCTACAAAGCCCATGGTTTGGCCGATGCCCAACCTGGACGCTGAGATATCCGACATGCATGGCAGCAAGTACTTCGCTTCCATCGATTTTGTCAGCGGCTATTGGCAGCTGCCCATGGCCGAAGAATCGCAGCCTCTACATGCGTTCATGACCAACAATGCTGTTGTACAAGCAACCCGGACATTACAAGGTGGCCGTAATAGCGGTGCTAACTTTCAGGGCAAAGTTGAACCTTTATTCTGCAAACTTCGTACTTCGCTCAAGGCTTGGCTCGACGACTTCGCCCTACACCACGAAGCAGAATCAGGATTGCTACAAGTAGTCCGCAAGTTTTTCCATATATGCCGAAAGCGTAGCTTGAAGGTGTCCATGACTAAGTCTCACCTATTCTCGAAAGAACTCAAGTGGTGCGGGCGGATTATTACGGGCGACGGTACACGGTATGATCCTCGAAAGTTTGACGGACTGCGCAATTGCCGTTCGCCTATCACCGCGGCAGAACTTTGTGAGTATGTACACTGCGCGGCATGGATGTCACAAGGCATTCCAGATTTTGCCAAACGAGTCTCACCTCTCCGTGCTCTGCTCGAAGCAGCATACAAAAAGAGCGGTAAGAGAACAAAGAGGTCGATTTCCAAGATCACTCTAGAATCTATCGGCTGGCAGGAAGATCATGAAACTGCGTTCCGCGACATACAAGCCCAACTCCGCGAACAAGTCGAATTGTCGCATCGCGATCCTTCGAAGAAACTCTGTGTCTATACTGACGCAAGTGAAGCATACTGGGCCGCTGTCGTAACAAAATGCGAACCAGCAGAACTCCTGAAGCCAGTGTCGGACCAAACCCACTCGCCACTTGCATTTCTCTCCGGTGAGTTCAAGGGGCCGCAAATTGGCTGGACTATTTACGAAAAAGAAGGGTTCGCTATCGCCGAAACATTCCACCGTCTGGACTACATGCTTATGTGTGAACCAGACACACGTGTCTTTACCGATCACCGTAATCTCCTGTTCGTCTTCGCTCCATCTACTCTCGAACCAAGCCTTGGTAGACACAAAGTACTCAAAGTCCTACGCTGGGCCGTTTTTTTGTCACAGTTCATGTACCGTATCGAACATATCGATGGCGAGGCAAACGTAATGGCAGACATCATGACGCGCTGGCTCCGCGGCTATCGAAACCCAAACAAAGCGATCAAACGCGTTGCACACATCCTACAGCAATACGATATTGTGCCCTCATCCGCCGACCCCGACTTCGACTGGCCTAACATGAAGCAGATCTGCAAGTACCAAG